AAGATCCTGCGATTTTCTCGATTTTATGTGTAAATAATATAAAAAAAAAAGTAAAAGATTCGATCCTAATAAAATTTTACTACATTATAGATCATTACATATCAACAGAGGTTCTTTTATCTTACAAAAGCAGATGCTATCGCGAGTAACAAGCAGTTATAATCCAGAGAAGGGGATATACACATCAAGAAATGAAATTACTATAACTAGTTACTTATAAACAATAAATATAACTATAGTCGCAGTAGCAGATCTCATACAGCAATAAAAATACGTACGTATAAAATGAAAATTATCCTTCTATAAAACTATGTTAAACAAAAATAATTATTATAAATTGTAACAAAGAATTCATTTTACCGATACTGTCGATCATTACAGCGTGGGCGCATTCTCTTTAAAAAAGTGCAAAAAAAGAACAATATACTAATTACTAAGCCACTGATGACGAATCAAGTAAGGTATTCTATAGTCTAGTGCAGTGGTTCCCAAAGTTGACAATACGCGGTACACGACCGATCAAAACCATCCATAATAAAAAATCATAAATAAAACGGGAAAGACTATAATATGCACCATAGTGACACTTAAGTGAGACCAACTTGAGTGTTCTTGAATCTTGATTCCACAGTATCATCTATTTTCAAACTAGTAGTAGAGCTTGTGAAATATAAGCAAATAGGTACAATAGAATTGACCCCCCCTCCGATCATTCCCCGTCCAATTTAAACGGGAATCGATTTTACGATAGCCTGAGCCGAGGTTCGAACCCCTAGCGGTGCCAATACAATATACGTTGCAGAGAACCAGGTCAATACAAATAATAATATTCACGTATTTATAAGGTCTTAAAATAAAATTAAAGTACCTACAAACTTTCGCCTTCTATTCAAAAAGCATGATAATTACGATATATATTTTACACATTTAAAGAATATTGTATTTTTATAGTTAAAGTAAAATATTATAAAAATTAATTTAATATCATTATCAATACGATAATGGAAAAACTATCTATCTATTCGTTGGCAACTCACCAGTAGGTAGCAATCTAAAGTTTGGGAAGTACTGGTATATATGCAATGAGCTGGCAAGACACTATTTCCCATTGTTACAGCAATCACGCAGCCACTGTCGCGGTCGAAATGAATTTATAAACACATACGTACTAATACCAGTTATGCTACAGAATGAGTAATCAATATATCACATTAGACCATAACTAGTCGTTACCCGTAGCTCCTTTCGCGCTTATATTCCTATGGTAACTTAGGATTCTGATCACACCCTACCGGATCTTAACTGATATATGACAATCCACACAAGGCTACCTTGTCCCAACTAAGCAAGATCTGCTTTGGATTTGGATATGTGTTATGGATACTAGACGACTGATATAAATTTACGGTTTCGGTGGTCTGGCGATTTAGCACACCGCCGTACTTCCGTTAATCCTGGGTTCGATATATGATACGGTATATGTTCGCCCCATTTATATTTATACACCGGCTCTAGTCGCAGGTACGTACTGTGCATCCCCCTTATTTCATTCCATACAGTCCACTTACCTTCCCCGCTACCCCCCATTCCCATTCCTCCAGTATAAACCTTTATATTCATGACTACTATTGTTTTTTTTCTGACTACTCTAATGCTGTCGGGCGAGTGCAGATGGCACTCCAAACCTTCGGAAGGACTTACGAAGCGGCGAGGGCTAACTCCCGCCTAATTGATACGACTTTAGTCTGCGGGCACCGCTAGGGGTTCGAACCTCGACTCAGACCATCGTAATATCGATCCCCGTTTGAATTGGACGGGGGATCGATCGGAGGGGTGTACTATTGTATCGGTCTGGGTGTTTTCTATGTATATTATGTATGTATTTACAGAGTATATCTATCAATGTATTCATATCAGTTGTCTAGTACCCATAACACAAACTCGGCTTAGCTGGAGTCTAGAAAGCTCAGTGTGAATTGTTAATATATTATTATTATTATAAATACTTAAATACACACATAATACAAATACTCATGAATACAATGTTTGCACCGTACGAAGAATTGAACACGCAACGATCGAAAAGTAAGGCTGTATGCTAAACCGCCAGGCCATCGAGGTCGTCAATATTAATTGAATTGAATATTGAATTATCTAATGAAAGGTTAACGTAGTAAAGATAATGTCCATGGTGCTGTTCATGTATATACGATTACCCTTTTTATTATGGGCCATCCGATGGCCATTCCCAAGACATAAATATATAATATACGTATATATGATTGATTAATACTTCAATCAGCAAGTGCTAATCTACGCACGAATAATGCGTTGAACACCAACCAATCTGCCATTATTTGCATAACTTAGCATTGATGCATTCACATTTGAATGGTATGCGTTAATTGTGTGAGCGTGTGAGTATTTCGGTTCCCTCGTGTCTGAGCCGACCGTGTAAGATAATTCATTATATGTATTGCTTAATATCAATATAAATTAATGTTCAACATTATTATCTTGCGACCCGTTACTTCGCTCGGCCTGAACTGTACAAGCATATAATAATTATCATTATTATTATTATTAGTGTGATATATAATAGTATATAATAGTTTGCACATTTTTATTAAATGCTAGCTGCCTGACTCGGTTTCTCACGGGTTCATTAATATGAATCAATTAATGGATAACATGTCATAGGTAAAACAATGTATGAAACTGAATGTCAGAACATACATATGTCAATACTTATTTGTACTAAATGAAAATAAATAATCATACTGAAGAGACGAAAATATTTAGGTTTTATTTTTAATTTTCAATACATATTTTCGTTTTATTTAATGTACTGACTGTTCATGGACGAAGTCAAAGTAAAAATAATTAATTCGTTCAAAACATCCTCTGTCATTTTTGAACTACAATATTTTTTATCACTATTATCACCGTTCAACGACTACATCTAAGAAGAACTAGTAATAAATTCTGTAGGTAAATATTTTTTGTTTTTCTTACATAGATTATTGATTATTTTATACACATGGTAGCAGTAGTAGGTTTAGAAATATTGTACAGATTCTGAAATACTGTTCTTACACACATGTACCTACTTTACTCAAAGAATTAATGAAATAAAATATGGTCCAAAGTAACTCCTATTAAAAAACGAAGTTTTATCACTAAATAATGAAGCATACTAAATGTTATAATGAAATGTTATAATAGAAAACAATTTAATTCGATTATCTTAGATGATCATTATTAGATCTTATCGATATGATCCGCTCTTCTTAGCAAATCGTTTAAAAACGTGACGATTACTATCATTATATGTTGATATGTTGAACTTATCTTATGTTTTCGTAACTACCATTAGGCATTAGGTAGGTATATTAATTATAAGCAAATAGTAATTACAATTAATAATTCCTTTACCGTCTTTCGAATTATATAGTAATATTTAAAAGAAAATTCATATAGCATTACATCAGTATCAGATTCAGTAGTTTCTTGTAGTAGTAGGGAAATTCTTATATTAATAGTTACAGCACCGAGAAATCTTATAGATACTTATTATACTTTATTATACTATTACGTTATGATAATAAAAATTACCCGGATTTTTTGGTCTTTAGAATTTCTAGTTTATGTCCCTTTGAGGTCTTGCTAATTAAAATAATATAAATTCGCAACTTGTATATATAGGTAATAACAATTTCTATTACTACTATACTATCTAATATTAATTACTATGTACATATAATAGTAATAACAACTACTGTAATAATAATTAATGCAATAAATTCGAAATAGACTTCGCAAAATTGAGATATTATTCAAGGATTTATCCAATCATTGCCACACGGACGAACGACTCTATCCCGTTAATTTTGATATCGCAGACGAAGTCGCGTGCAAATATATGTATAATCTTCTCTTTTAACGACATCCTATAAAATATTTGTTAATGATTAGGATAGATTCCATAAACACCGGAACCTCAGTCATCCCACACAATCCCATCGTGTCATTGCTAAAGTAACACAACAAACGCCTAATTACTACAACGAACAATACCAACTTATAATTCAATGCATAATGCAAATAATTTCGAAAGACCGCTATTCTAATCATGAGTTTCCCTTTCGTTTTTCATTAAAGATGTTATCGACAAATTGGCGGCAAAACAATGAATGCTTAGCGTGGATTAGGCGCGTTCACCTACGGCCTGCATGGTCACTGAATGTTGCATTACGGTTTAAGAATTAATGTCCTGTAACGTTGCTGAAATAAAATTACGAATGTAAAAAAATTACGTTCAAATCTGTTCATAATTTAAGAGTTTCGCTATTGTCAGTGGAGCTCTTGCCACTGAAGTTTTTTTTATACTATGTTGGTGGCAAACAATTATACGGCCCATATGATGGCAAAGGTTAAAAATCTTAATATACACTTTTTGAAAACACTCATGCGATAGTGTAGTGAAAAAACCTCGGCAGGTAGTTTATTCCACAATCTAAGAGTACGCGGGTGGAAACTCCTCTGAAACCGCACTGTCCGAGACCACTTAGTACGGTCCTTCGTCAATATATCCTAATATTAAACCGTATTACATTATTAAAATAAGTAATCACGGAGAAATTTTCACATTAAATTATCATCAAAATTGATAGGGAATTGTCGACGGTATCGCCTTTATAATTGGTTTTAATTATTTACATAGGCTACTTACCTAAATATTATAGGTAACAATGATTAATTAGAGGCTTAATTATATGTTGAACTCTGTTTCAGGATATTCGATCACTTAAATTACAATATAAATCATATTAGAAACAGTTTTGTTTATGTAGTTTACAATTAATTAGTTATTTTCAAATCTATATTAATATTTGATTAATCTATGATTAAAGAAGCAAATACAATAGCCTTTTCATATTATTAAACTTGGGTATCTAAAAAAATTATTAACTATAAACAAGTAATTAATTATTACTTACCAATACTTTTTGCGAAAAGCAGCACAAATAATGCTGTGATAGAGTTCCAGTTCATCTTCATTTTCGTAATATCTCTTATTTCACCAAACAATTCATACCTAATTATTAAACCACGAACATTATTAAAGTTTGTCTTATTTTTTTACGTACAAAATATAATATGGCTTTATTATTTTCATAACTAGATAAAATACAGTCACAGTCACCTCTACACTATAAAACCTTTTTGTTTTTAAAAACTATATATTCCTTTTTTAACGGCTGAAATTAAAAACAAATCACATCGCGAGTTAAAGTTCGAACACGATTTTGGCGCGGAAACGTGCTTACGTTCGGTACGGACGCGTCTTTGCCTACGAATGAATATAAAGGCGCGATCACACTACCAGCGCTGGTGATCGACCCCACCGGAACCACACTCGATGGTCGCTCCGCTGCCGACCGCCTCCATGTGCACCGCACCGAAACGCACCTTATAAAATTTCTATTTGCGATTATTGTAATCTTTTTTCCTATACGCATAAGGTTCTAAATAAAATAACACTATTTGTAATTGTTTGCGATTATGTTCGTGGTTTTGTAGAGCGTACGCGCATGAAAAGCACGTTCCCCTATTGTTTGTTACGGAGGACGATTGGAAAAACAATGACAACAAATATTGTAAGGACATAGATAAAGTAGAATGTTACACAGAGTTAAGGAATGTTACCATTATTGGTTCATAACTAAATCATATTGCATATCGCACGCTGAACCCTAAATTGCATTAACTTAAAAAACTCAATTATGTTTTAAATATAGGCTGATTTTCAAAACTTTTGTTGTTGAGTTATGCAGTTTAGTAGTAAGCGAGCGACATATTCTTTAATTCATATCTTTATATACATAATATATATAGGTCTCCCCCTAATATAGATTTAAAGTTCTTTTTTTTGTGTGGAAAATATATTCACAATTTGGCATATTCTTTATTTCATCTATTTATACATATATATAGGACTCCCCCAAAAAACCGTATCGATTTTAACGGATTTTTTTTATGTCCAAAATATATTCACAATTTGAAGAGGTGGTTCTACGATCTATGCTGTGGATTTAAAAAAATTGAAAGTTTCAGTAAGACGTTCGTCGGATCATTAGTATACTATCCACAAAATTTTAACGAATTATATACCTAAAGTTTTCACAGAAATCACTCTGTTGACGGATGAAATTCGTATGAAAACCCATTTATTAGATTTTTAGATTGTCGCGAACAGACGTGGAAAAGGAATATATTTTACAAATTTTATAATAAAAAGAAGTTAAGGTTATAGGTAATCTCTGAATCTACTGAAACTATTTTGAAAATTTCTTAATTATTGTATAGCCCATTTATTCGGAAAAAAAGAAGCTTTATATCATCACGCTACGACGAGTCGATCGATCATCACTACGAGTAGTGTGATATTAGTTGTTCCTATTCCTAGGAGCGTAGCTGCAATGATAAATGTTCCAAAAATGGGTAAAATGTGGCTCAGATAAAGTCGCTTGGATCTGCTAGTGTAGGTATGTATTATAGTCAACATATTATAGTATAGTCAACAAACAAATATCAGCGAAACAATATTAACAGAGCAGATCTCTGCGTAGATCTCTATCTGTTTGGAACAAAACAAGGTTTATTATATAAAATATTAATAATCAACAACTTAAACGCCCGTATATAGTCTAGTGTGCATTGATTAGCAACATGTAAAAAAAAAACAATAATGATAAACCAGAAAATAGACATCCTCAACCTAATAATACATCAGTTCAAATAATTCCTTTTCAAAGTTATTGCATTTATTTTTATTGAGTTTCCGATATATCCACACGGCTCACTATTTTCAACAAGTCATCTTCTTTTTTGGCAATTTATTCTTCTTCTTGTTTTTTGTTTTTCCAATTCTACTTTATGACTTACAGTATCAATGATTGACTTTTTGTTAAAACAGTATATAAACTTCGGTATTTCTTGGAAAAAAACCCGTCGACAGAGACTTAGATAGAGTTTTAACTTTGCTTTAGAGACTTACTTTTTATATTATTATATTACAACGTTTTGTGACAAGTGGAATCTCATATTATTGAGCAAAAATGCCGTTAAAATCGGTTCAATAGTTTTTGTGTTACGCTGTAAGTTGTAAGAAACGCAATTTCAACCGCGTGGTCCCGTTTTTTTGCTGCTTGTCGGCCCTTGGCGACTGTTTCATTTCTATTATATTGTAATACGACTCTCCGTGTCATTTGTGATAAGAAAAAAACCCGTCAACAGAGACTTAGATAAGTTTTTAGAACTTACTTTTTATATTTTATTAATTTGAGCAAAAATGCCGTTAAAAAATAACGTAACTTGCTTTTATTAGAACTGCTTTTATTAATTTAAAAAAATCGTAACCTGCTTTTACAGCCTCGACTTAGACTAAAAGATCGTAAAATAAATCTGACCAACGCCAAAAAAACTTTAATTAATATTTCTAAATCTCCGGAGACCGAAAGACTAATATAATAACAAACTTTATTTGTAGTTTAGATGGCCTTAAGATCGCTATTACATTTTAAAGTTAAAAACAATATTACTTTCACTGCTTCCCCGACTACATTGATAGCTACAGTACTAGTACACTCGTCCCTACATCTTTGAATCTATCTACTCAAATCTACTATTTAATGATCTCAATGTCATATTAAGTGTAAAATAGGTGACTGTCGTTCACCACCACTAACAATGCAGCCGTGAACGTAATAATTTTTTATAATATTAAAACATGTAGGTAATACAAAATCTTACGTAATTACCGGCACAAGTAAAATGTATATTCAAGTTGCCTTAAATGACCTTAAATGTCTGCACAGATTTAAAATGTAGCTAAGAAAGAATACGTAAAGGTGTTCTTTCTTAGCAACATACAACAAGAAACCGTATCATAAAGGACACATACATATTTTAGGAGTTATGATGTAACAAAGATTCAGATACACAGGAAATCGGATGGGATGGGTCGGCCGAGAACAACACCATTATACACATATTTTGTTTTAGTGTTTATAATGAAATGATTTCGTCAGTTAGAGCGTCAGTGGAGGATGATAAGATGACCATGAGTTCAAGTCAGTTAGCCCATTCTGACAAATTCACCAAAAATTATCATGATGGTTTCTAGGGGGAACCGCGTGGAGGTCAACCGGACATGCTAGCAATTGGGTCAACAATCCTCTTCACCACGAACGTTATTACGTATCGAAAAAGTCTTCGCACGCGCACAATAAGAAATATTGTAATTTGTATGCCTTCTGATTATGGGGCGAACATTTATACCCTATTTTTTTTTTTTTTTATGGATGATAATGGAATGGTGCACCCACCTACGCTAACGGTTTACGCTGGCGGGGCACCAGTGGAGGATGATAAGATGAGAAACATTGACAAATTCACCAAGAATTTATCACGATGCCTTCTGATTATGGCAATAAGATGCAGAACATTTTATACCCTATTTTATTGTAAGACCTACACTGTAAAGAAAACAATTTCAAGCAAACAAATTATCTAACAGAAAATAAATTGTAAGTAAATTGTAAGGGATATAATTTTTTAAGTAAATAACCACTGGACAATTAACACAGTAAGCAGAGCTTTGTTGTGGGTACTAAACAAATGATATAAATACTTAGACATTTTTTTGTTAATACATACGTAATATATATGTTAAATTTATATAGAAAACACCCAGACCGATACAATTATTCTCATGAATACAACTGTTTGCACCGTACTAGGAATCGAATCCGCGACGATGCATCCGAAGTAAAGCGGTGTGCTAAACCGCTAAACTACCGAGGACATTTGTCCATAGACTGATGGTCCTTTTTTATGTTTATTTATTTAGTTTGTTCGTTAATTTTTTCTCTGCTTGTTCCGCTAAAATATAATCCGCTCTACTTCCCGCAGTTTCTTAATTAATTAGATAGGTTTTTAAATTAATACTGATCATTTAATTACATCTTCAATAATAAACATTGTAAGATTTTTCGTCGCACGCTTTAAGATAAAACACTTCATACTTCTGAAATAAAACTGAACATCTAGTACCAAATAGTAGAACTACACTCGGGGTCACTAAAATCATAACTTATTATGTAGGTTATGCATAATATTCAAGTATTGAATAAAATATTATATATATTTTATTTAATACTTGAATAACTAAATAATTTATATAATTTTGTTGCAGTCGTGATATCAAATAATAGCTCAATAACACAATCCGTTATATATGTATTGGGTAGAACACAGCAACGCAGTCGAAGGCAAGAACTAAGTATAGCCTCGTACCTCTAAAATATACTGGTTTAGACCAGAACCCTATAATAGACTCATGTGACGTCATACTTTTAAAATACATATTCTATCCACTGACTCCTCTACAACGATTAAGGATCAATACGAAATATTGCAAAAGCTGGGGCAACCACTCAAATCTTCATTTCCGTTCTAACTACAGATAAGATGTACTAACAGAACTTTAATAAAAGTAACATGTAATTAAAAAAATCTTTATTAATATTTTTATTACACTTATTATATCTATGAGGAATCTATAAGATATTTGGCAATATTTGCGAATCATTAACATAGGTTATAAAATATTATTGAATATGTTCCTGATGGCTACATATTATTTGTTTTATTAAACTGTTATATATAAATATATATATATATATATATATATTATATAAAGGAGACAGATTTTAATACATCATCTTGAAATATATCATATTATATTATTACTAAAATATGTCATTACTAGATTTTAAGACAAACTTGCTGTTCATAAGTATTGTTTAGAAAAGTCAATGGGTAATGGGAATGGGTATAAAAAATTAGAATAAGATAGATACCAAAGGACATATATACCAGAATTACCTTTAAATGAAGTTAAAACATCTGTTAATTCATATTTATTGAGCAAAGCCCATTACTCACTAAACGATTACTTAAATTACAAACATGACAATAGTAGTTCATGCATGGTATTTTCATTTTATGTTAAACATAGACACCTATATAAGTACACATTGTATATAACGTATTTAAAAAAAAAGAAATTCAGTTGAGTTTCTTGCCAGTTCTTCTCAATAATCTGTTAAACCGGCCGGTAGGAAAAAAAATATTAATACAGATAACTTGACGTTTATAAGCGACTAAAATGTTCTACATTAATAAATGATATAATTAAAGATTTATTTGTGAATTTGGAAAGGCTATTTATTGCAAATTAAAAAAAAACATTGTTTTACAAATCATTTAAATATATTAATAACTGAAATACATCTTAAAAGCTGAAATAGGTGACAGTGGTGACACAACACAACAGGTGACCCACAAAAATAATTTTGTCCAAAATCTGCCTTGGTAATAAAAACATATACGCCTTATTTATTACTAAGGGCGAGCACAATAGATCTATGTAGGTCGCAGTGCTACAGGTGCTACAAACATCTGACAATAGCCCAAACAACCCAATAAAAAAAAATATATTGATTACTAGCCATATCTGCGGTTTCACCCCCATTAAATTTATAGCTTTGCGTTATTCTGATGTATAAGCTATATCATTGTAAAATTTCTTTGAAATCCATTCAGTAGTTTTTCCGTGAAAGAATAACATCCATCCATCTATCCGTCCATCCATCCATCCATCCACCCACCCATACTTACATACTTCGGCGTTTATAACATAAGAAACAGGTAAGATTATGCAGTATTGATATTCTCTTGTAAATTCTTACATATACTAATTATGAAATACGTCACTAAAATTATGTTGAATTGTACAAAAGATACTATCACCTACACTACACTGGCGCACCAATAAACCTTGATGGAACACTTATGAACCTTGCGCCAAAATTTAGCTAGAAACATGACTGCGCAAGTAACACGTTAATAAAACGATAACTATTACTATCAGGAAATATATAACGTTAGGGCAGTAACAGTATACGCTGGCGGAGCACCAGTATAGATCAAATGAGGTCAGTTAGCCCATTGTGGCGAAACCATTAAGATTAAACCACGATGGTTTCCAGGGGATACCGCGTGGAGGTCGACCCGATAGGATACATCCCCTTCCCTATTATATATGATTACTAAGCTAAGCAGACTTCGTCTATAAGGTCGGTTTTTGACCAGTCTACTAACCCAACTTAGACACCAAGGTCGTCAGTTCGAATCTGGACTTGTAGCTACTTGTATTTCTGTACACATCTTTTATGATGGACATACCTCTTGGTGTGCCATCACACATTGGGTATGTCAAGTGTTATGTTGATTCTGATTTTACCCAGTAGCTAACAAGCACATCATTATAGTATTACAGTTGTAAAAGTATATTAGTATTAAATAAATAAATTATGAGGTTCTTGTAAATTAAAATAAGGCCTCAAATATTGTGATTACATCATCAAATACACTTGACAGACAATTTCTACTGAAATTGTCTGATTGGACAATGTATTTTAAAATGTTATTAAAGTCTATACATGACAATAATGTTAAAGAGAATAACATTTATTTATTATTATATAACACTTGTAAATTAGGGGTCAAAAGAAATTACAAAATACCCATATTGCACTCATTTTATAAACAAGTCATTCAGTAAAAATAAAACAACATTATATACCAGGTAACGAACATCCATGACATCACATCAGAGCACATACAGAGCTCTTTCCATCATCGAGACACTTTTCTGAGATCTTAAGAAACTGTAAACATGTTAATACTTGTGAAATTGACTGTCTTTTTAGTTTTTTTGCTATTTATCTAAGACTCATAGATAAAAGACGACTAAAAAATATTTTCAAACTAAAGAAGTATTTCTAAAAACACTGTTCTTATTTCAATATCACATTTCATGTAATTTATAATTATAACTTTTATCACTAGATGGCGTTACAATGCATTAGCATATAGAAAAAAGTGAGAAAAAAGCATATACCTCCACTCTCAATGAAAATATTCTAGAACTGAAAAGAACTGACGATATAATTGTAAACGTTACGCACTCATCTTCAAGGGTCTAACGTTCCTATGGTTTTGAAGGCATCTAATACTGCAGAATTTGTACTGATCATACTCGAATGGCATCTTCGGTAGTTGCGTACCGCACAGGAAACACCGAGGCGCGTCTAGTTTTGTCTAGAAAATAAAATATTGTTTTAACAGTGATTGTGATTATTTATTATGTATTAAGTAATTCATGTGAATACCATATCAAGGATATATTATTATTACCATAATATTAATACGTGAAGCAAAAATGTTGTAAAATACTTTTTACAAAATTACGCGCAAAAAATGAAATGAGTAGCATGAAATTTGCACACATAAGAAAGAATACACAATACTAGTATTTTTTTTAATTATGCATAATATATATATATATATATATATATATATTAAATCAATACAACCATGTATGTTTGTACTTTTTGTTTATTCTGTGGTCACTTTGAGAATAGAATAGATTAATATTGTTTGTCTTACTGAATAATAAATTGATTATAGTCGATTTTCGACCACTGAGGGATCACTCAGTGGTCTAATAACTAGTAATCACTAGTTTTTTACTATAGCAAACCTACTTCCTATAACAAGAAACAATGCCATGCCAATGGGTCGTTACATATTATTATTAACATAATTATAGTGTATATACCTTTTCCTTATCAGTCATTTGCAGGAACTTATTGGTGCGTATCTTCTCTACTTGTTTCTCCCGGTCTCGCTGTCGCTTCGCGCGCTTCTGTTGCGCTTTCCTTTCTTTTTCCTGTTCTAGAAGTTCTGGAGTTACCGGGCCCGGAATTTGTGACTGCAATAAAGTTTAAATTCATATATTATAAACAAATATTCAGTTATGTTTTCAATATAGTTTAACATACAAAAATTAATTTAATTCTGTCATTAATTAATTTGTATAATTTTTGAGAAGGGTGTGAATATAATTATTTGACGCAGCTCGTCAAATAATTATATTAAATAAAGAGGTAACAAAATCATACCATTTGTTACTATGAAAAGTTAAACATTTATTACTTGAGTTATACACTAAAAAAATAACTAAATAAATAACCCTGAATTATAGACTTTACAGACCTTAGCATAGTTATATTTGTCAGGAAACTGTCCCTGGAACAATCGGAAAGCAATTCTTGTATCTGGGTTTGGTGTTGCCGCGTATGGTGTCTTCAGATCGTGATTCTTTATACAAGGATTACCGCCCACTGTTAACAACTGTCTGTTGGAATTAAATTGAATTATGTTATTCAAAATATAAGTTAAGGATAACATGCATTTACACAAATATTGTCAACTTAATGTATAATCTAGAATTATACCTATTACGTCTAATATGATATTTTGTTAGTCTAGACTTCAGACTCCCAAATTACACCAAAATAAAATTTGGTTATTCCTACTTACAAGCAAATATGCTAAGATTGCAACTATTTACAAACAATAATCTACTTAATTAATATTTATATTCCAATGTAATATAGTAAATATTTATAAAAGTAACGTATAAAGTGGTGAAGTTTTACTTACGTAACAAATTCTGGTTTAGCGGCTATAGCAGCTTTGTGAAGTGCTGTATTGCCATCAGCCGGGTCTTGTATATTACATGCTGCCTCCAACTCCTCAGCACTCTCCCAACCTTCTAGTATCGTCGCCAGATTATCACACTGATCGCCGGATATTAATTTCCACAACTGAAAGTCAAAATCATAGTTCACAAAGAAACCGATTACCAATCGTAACAAAATATACTTAAGCAGTTATTCTGTTTAAGTATGGACTAATTTTGAATGGTTCATTATTTGACACTATTTGTGTATATTACACGATACGTTTTGGTAAAAGTATCGTGTAATGTAAACAAATACGGACAACCAATTTGAAAATGAAAATACCTTATTGACGATTTACTTTTGATGGTCGCGGATTCTATTCATGGCACGATACATACATTTATATTTATAACTATGATTGTTTGTATTTGAATGTATTTACAAAAAAATGTATTTAAGTATTCCAACCAGTTTTCCGTAACATAAGCTCTGTTTATCTTGAGACTAGATGGCTGTGTCTTAGTTATAATCATTGCGCTTATGTGATTTATAATACAGCTTATCAACATACCTTTTTAACGTTCGGTGAAATCTTTACCGGCTGTTTCTTAGCTTGCTTGTTTTCTTGTTTATTTTCATCAGGTTTCTTTTTCTTCTTCTTCTTCTGATCCTTCTTCTCTGGCATGTTTTCAACTTCACTGTCAGAACTCTCCGGACATGCAATATTGCAGTCATTAAGAAGATCCTTTCTAGAATTGGTAATAAACCCTTTGTTACTTTGCTCTGATAATGTCTTAATCCAATCAACAGGTGTCTCAGAGTCGATGTAACATGGGCCTTCGTCTTCACTTGACACCATTTGTGTTGGCAACTCACGTGGGGCACGCTCTCTGGGAAACGATAAAAAAATTAGGCATGTCATAACTTTGATTTCTATTCTAATAAAAAAAACATAAGGTCAAGTTTACATAGGCCACTTTATAATTGAAATTTGAGATAGAATAGTACTGTCTTAACACATTTAGACATGTGAAGTGTAGCCGTTTTAAAATTAAAGATTTTACTCAAGAATAAAAGCATTTTCAATCATATTAATTTTATTTCATTAATATATTTTGCTATACCTGGATTTCGCCCTATCTATAGGCTTGTGAGGACTTTTTTGGGTCTTTTTCCGTTCAACATTTGTTTCAGAAGATGCCGGGTTCACTCCGAAGGATGATATTAAAGCCTTTTGGAATAATTCCATTGTTTCTGTAAGGTAATAATAAAATAGAATCAGACATGCAATTTACAATTAATCTATAAGCATATTGTAATCAACTATATGTAATCAAAGATTTCTGAGCTGCACTCAAACAGATGATAGCAACTAGTAACAAGAAATGTGAAGTAAGCGATGAGATATAAGAGAAACATTTAAATTAATTTAAAAATAAGTATTATTTAGAAAACATACATTTAATACAAAAAGGATACTAGCTATATGTACTGATATACATACCATAAACTTCCATACTGGCGACTGTTTGATGAACCCTTTGAACTTCTTTATATGTAGGCTTTTTCGTTGGGAATGGCAGCGCTCTCACTCTGAAATCATCTCTATTTAGAGGTGAATTTTTCCCAAATATAGCAGACTGATTCAATGATCCTACTGCTCGATATAATATTAAAGAACAACCGGCCAGGTCTTCCGCCCATCCAGCCATGATTTCTTGAACGTGCTGTTAAAATAAATGTTATATTACTAACTAATATATATAGACAGAAATACTCAAACAGAAGACTTTGTTCTATCCACTACAGGTAGAATTTATTTCATTGAATCTAAATCTCTATCATATAATAAATACATACCAGCATAGCTGGGCATTAACTCGTTAATCCGTTAATTTAACATTTTGATTAACCGATTAACTTTTAAAAAAGTTAACGGACACGTTAACTTCCGTTAATAATGCAGAAGTCCGTTAATCGTTAAAAAAAGTGCATGGAAAAAAGGTAGAAGTTGCTTTACGACAAGAAGCAGTGGAAAATTCGAAGGTCAGAAATAGTTTAAGTGACGGAGGGAGCAACGATGATGACGAGGAAGACTTTTTCAATTCTGTCACTCAGTCTATAGAAAACTCTTTAAAGAAGGAGCTCTTTGTCCAATTTTTTAAAGAGTAAAGCACAAAGTCTCGTTAAAATGTGGCTGGACATGAAATAAAAAGACTCATTCAACGATGCTGCATTCCTCGGCGAACAGATATTCATAAACCTATTCATCAAATATAATACTGCTATGCCCTCAAGCGTTTCAGTTGAACGTCTGTTTTCCATGGGTAAAGACATTCTAACACCAAAACGAGCCTCGCTTTCAGACGAGAACTTCAACTTGTTAATGTTTATGAAGGGAGGGAATATGCACCTTATGGCCGAGGATTAAATTACACATTTGAATTATACAAGTATTTTGTTTTGTTCCTAATCTGTTAATTTCCAGAACCTAAACCAACACGTTTTATAAGTTCACTAATGCAACGATATAAAAATGCAATTTTACATATATTAACGGATTAACGTTAACTTGCGTTAATTCTTCTGAAATGCAACGTTTAACAAAGCTAACTTTTTTATTAGCGGATTAACGATTAACAAACTATTTGATTACCGGTGCCCAGCTCTGCATACCAGTGGTCGCAATTCGACCATAATAAAAATACAAAGAGATAATTAAACCAGCAATAATATAAGCATATTTTTTAACAATAACGTGTGCGTGTGCGTGTGCGTGTGCGTGTGCGTGTGCGTGTGCGTGTGCGTGTGTGTGTGTGTGTGTCAAACACATGGTAATGTGTTTAATGGTGCTTTTTATTAATTTATTGTATTTTTATGTATAATAAAAAAAATATAAACATTCTCTTTCTCTATATCTATATGCGCGCAATTTTCGTAAAAATAGGTACAAAGTTCTAGCTTTACTATTTTCTATGATATTATAATATATTACAATTAATATACTTACATATATAAATATTTATTACTATATGACTTGCCATATATGTTAAGAAGTTTTTTACATTCGTTAATAAAATATGGTTTCATGAATTCAGTTGTTTCACAAAATTGTCGATAACAATTCAATTACCATATATACACACACACCTGCACTAGTTATATAATACTCAGCGCACCAGTTATTCAATGGCAGACTCACCTCCAAGAACTGCGCCATGTTGTACCTCCTGAGGCTGGCCCCGGAGGAGCGTGGTGCAGGCCCGTGCTGGTCGCGAGCTGTCTGCGCCTGTCCCTGTCCTCGACGGGTCACGTACGAGTGATGCGTCTTGTGAACCACCGGTACTTCGCCAGAGAAGATAGCGCCAGCGAAGTGCCCGCCAGATACCATCAGCACCGCCCACCGCTGATACCCAGCTATTGTCAGACGCTGGCATCGCTCCACCCATGCGCTTCCATCGCCATCAGTGGATAGTTCTTCCTGCATGTAGTATTTTTAAATGTAAAGGATGGTGTTTGTAAAATAGGTTAAAATTATATATTTATTTATTTATTTGTATGCCTGTGTATCTGTGTATTAAACATTGTGAAAACTAGTCTTGAAAGCAATTTAATGGATTTCTATGTGGTTTTCACTGATGATTGATACGATTTATAAGTAAATAAATAAATAATTTTGTGGATATAAATAACGATTATATAATATAATATAAATGTGTTTCCATCACATACATAATTTGTTAAATATTAAAGTCATAAATATAATAAATGTAGGAGTTTCAATAAATAATTGTAGTCAGTTTCTGATTATTAAATAATGTAAAATCATGAAAAAAAATGTATCTAACAATTCAATATACACTGAACATTTTGATAACTTTAAAAAATATTGTTACCTACAAGTTTTGTATATGCTCATCAGGCGATTTCACATCTCTTCAGAATGTATTAACAATATACTATACATTTACAATCACAATATTTGTATGAGTAGTAAATTCAGTAGTTATGGCTCATCAGTTTACTCAATGCAATGTTACCTTCCGATGATGCAATATGCACCTATAAATACAGAACACCTGGCCCTTCTTATTAGTAAAGAAAGCCTTACAGTGCCTGGTAGCAGCAGCAAATAGATCAGTTGCTGGGGTGCTGTTGTTACCCTCTGTTTCTGAATCGCTGCCTGATACACTTGAGTCACCTGCAACAAAGAATATTCTTTTACCTTTATTTAAAAGAATCACAGACACATCTATAAATTTTGATTGGTATATTTTACTCTCTTGAACATACACAATTGTAACAGTAACAAAATAAGAATTACATGAACATAATACCACAGATTATTAATTACACTATGGTATTTGTGCATACATAGATAATTAGCAGCACTATATAACAAAAACTACAGATGCACTTCATGTTCTATAACAAGGAACATCCTACTACTTATTAGTAGAATAATAATGTCCTACTACTAAATAATAACATAAATCAAAATGTAAATGTATGCAGGATACTATATATGAAAACTCATGCAGAGAACAGTGTGAGATTCAGTTTGTAAAATAAGAGATATGTTAGCTTAGTAATTTTAACATGAAAGTTAATAAAAACTACCCTTTTGTTGGATAATATGTTTTACTATGTGTAACACATTTACTATGTGTAATTTTGTCAAAAAATTGTTAATAAACCTAATAATGTACTTTTAATTTATAACAAACATTACCTACAATTTATAAAAAATAAAAAAAGTACTTTTAATACTATGTTGATTTATGAGTATACTAGCTGTGCCCATAGTTTCACCGGTGGGAAATTTATAGCCCATATGTTATTCTGATAGCTATATTGCTGTAAAGTTTAATCAAAAGCCATTCAATATTTTTTGCATGAAAGTAATAAACCCATCAATACCAATAACTTTCATGTATAATATTAATAAGAGAAGATGTACTTACCTTGTCTAGAATTAAACTGTCCTAAAGACAAAGCAGTCTTTCCGAACAGCTTTCTTTTTAAATTATGTGTGTGCCAGTGATGCTTGTAATGTGCTATTTGCTGCTCTCTAGTTTTAAATGGACCAACACCACAGCACGAGCAGCAGTTGCCGTCAGCGGGTCCATTGATAGTTAAAGCATTCAAACGCTTTAACACACTTTTTTCATCGACTGTAAATAATAATAACATTTTATATAAATGTTACAAATTCCAGAGACTAAAATTGCAGAATGTTTGGAAGTTGAAAAAAGAATACATCTCTGAAATAAGCTGTTTTATACCTTATACATAAAAATAATAAAAGTAATATTGAAGTTTCAAGTATTTCACAACATTATACCACATGAGAATAATTTTTCTTTTTCTCACAATCACATCCAGTTAAACTGCAGTACTTCTAAAACATACATAAAAACTAAAAAATCTTTTAAAAATTTAAAAAAGGTTATTTACATGAGTTTTAACATATTATATTTCATAACCTGTCGGGTCAACTTACACACCATACTGGAACACCTGAAAGCTATCATGGTTGATTCCAGGTGATTCTTCAAGATAGGTCGAGTAACCTTGTTATCCTCACTGGATAACTACTAACTTTTTCATTCACTGGTCTCTCCACAAGGCACATCATCATGATCAAAAATAGGTGAGGTTATGTTTTGAAACTACTGATTTTGTAAAGGTAAAATAAGTCTTATATTCTACTTACCAACTTGATGAGACTCGGTGAGCATACATGTTGCAATTCGCAAACCTTTTAGCAATCTTTCGAAGTCGTCCGATTCAAAAGTTTTAATAATTTTTGGTTTTACCACATCTGTTTTCAGGGCCATTGTAAAACATTCATTCACATTATAATTTTTTATTTATAAGTAATTAGACTTTCTATATCTGTAATAAATCTAGTAAGTATATAGTAAAATCTATTACATGTAAAATGAAAGCGAAACAACCTTGCCTAGACAGCGAATGGACATACAGAATTTATTCAGAAAAAATAAAAAAATACATGATGTAATGTCAAATGTCAATCAGGAAGGATTTGAGATCGATTGATCCGAAAATCGATGTAAACTTTGAAACGAATTATCTAAAGATTGCATTATGTTTTGTTGTGTTTGTTTTTATTTTATTAAGAAATATTATTAAGAATTTCACTATAATTCCATTTAGATTATTGAGTAATCTATCTTGAATTTTGTTAATCGAGTTATCAGAGTATTTTGCTCACAAAAAATCGCCATTCCTAATTGAAATTATAGACCCTTTTTGTGAAATCAATCTTTGAACCTTGATTATAATTAATCTATTCATAGAATTTCGATTTCAATCGATTCAATAATCGATATTTTTCCAAAAGAATGAGAATCGCAATCCCTAATGTTAATGTCAACCAAAGAATTTTGACTTCATTTCACTAGAATTTAAACTTTATCCGAAAAAAGTACAGTGTATATTTGAGAAATTAATTGTCACATTGAGTTGCCAGTGCCATATATAAAATTGGCAACATGGAGTCGGTGAAGCTGTAAAGGCCAGCTGCGAGCAACAGCATTTGAGGTGTCTGAAAAAAAGGAGAAAATAGTATGAACAGGAGATAATAGTATGAATTTAGCATAAAATAGTTTGTAATTGTAAATTCATGTGTAACTACACTAGTTTCTCGTACATACTTTTCTCCCATTATTTTATTTCAAATCGGTTCAGCACGTAGGTAGGCACCTACTTTAGTTTCAAAATCATTATACCTAATGCAAGCAACTACTAACCATATAATAGGTTTACAGAGATTCTACGCATACTATCAAACGGAGATTAAAATTACGACGGCCTGAGCCGAGATTCGACGTTTAAGTTACCTACTAGTGTCCCTAAAGCCGATATAATTAGCAATTATAATGCAATATCTACATTTCTCATTAAACGGTGTAATTTGATGTAAACGGTACGGTAACGTATTACGTATGTAGGTATAAATTTATTCCGTCTAATTATTATTAGTAAGTATCACAAGTACCTAGTTAGCTCAACTTCAAATATGTACTTAGATACCTACTAGTGTTTTACTATTAGTGCTATTAGGTACACGAGAGAAATTAATCACTGCTGATAAGGCTGCAATTGGAAAATGAAAATATTATTGATACCATGTTTGTGTATTTATACAATATCTGCAATATCAAAGCAAAACTTTACTACTAAACATCAGTTTTGCGCGTATTTAAATTGCAATGAAGAAACTAGAGAGGCTACTTGTGGAATCAGAGTGGATACTAAAGGTGTTCAACTCAGATTCTTTGAAAGTGTCTGTGAGTTATTGAAATATGGATGTCAGGTGGAAGATGAGAAAAGTAGGTAAATAGTTTCTATATTGTAACTTTTGGACCAAATCAATGGCTTTTTATCAATGATAAATATACCATATTAATCCTACCTATACCTAGCGATTACGGCGGTTCCCCGCTTCCATATTGTAATTAAAATTGTAATTGACGGTGTTTCTTACTATCATACCTGGAATTGCAATCTTTCTATAAAAAACTACGTAACCCAAGGATAGTGTAGCTTCCTAATGGTGAAAGAATTTTTCAATCGAAATTTCGGATCCTATTCAAATTCAAACAAACAAACTTTTCCTCTTTATAATATTATAAAATATATGATAATGGAATAGTGCCCTCGTTTTTGCTATCAGTATATAGGTACGCTGGCGGGAACCAGTGAGCATGATTCAGGTCATTTTTATCATCTTGGCAAATTTACCCGACTGCGTTAAATAACTACAAAGTAATATTTCAGCTTATGGTTTAATAAATATCGATTACTGCAAACGCACCTTCAAATTTACTGGCACAAGTGATACGAAAATGATACTAAATAATTATATAAAAGAGTCCGATATAAAAATTAAATGCGCAAAATATGATTGTTCTAAGAATCTATTGAACACAACTTATGTATGTGGTATTAGAAAAGACAATAATGGTTTTATAATTAGACTATTCAATAATGAATGTCTACTACAGAAGCATAATTGTGAGAATAACATTGAGTTTATAATCACTGATTCTTACATTTGCGATGGGCTTGATGTTTCAAATGATACAAATGTAGGTAATGGTGACAATTTATACAAAAATACGAAAAGAAATTCAATAAATAGAAATATATTTATAGTAGATGGTTTATTTAATTATAATAGTGATATAAATGATACAGTTGATACTTTCTTTGCTTCGACGCACGTTTTTGATCTTCCTGTAAAAGAGATTCCAGTTACAGACTTAAATATAGATACCAGAAGAATTATATTAAACAGATTCGGACCGCAGAAAGTATTTAAGCCGTGGATCACGATACCAAAGAATATAAGTGATGACCACTATCACAGACCGACTTTATCTTCTTGTTATCATAAATGTCCGAAAGTAAGTAAAGTCCTACAATAAAATTAGGCGAAAACCTTGCAACCAAATAAACGTAACGTTATAACGTATACCTCGTATGAATGTCATAAGTTATAAACCTGATGCGCATAAATAAAAAAATGTAAACAATTAAATGTTCCCAAGTATGGCTCTTAAGTTTAGTCAATTACATTTCTTGTTATGTCAAATCCCGCCCAAACAGGTTCACAAGTCAGCTACCCGGGGTTTGTTGCCCCGGAGTTGATGCCGGACCAAAAGGGTAGGCCTCAACCATCACGTAAAGGGGATGCGAATGACTAATGTCAGCTTGAAATAGCGAATATATGTATTGTAATAAAATACCTAGTTCATAGCAAATAGATGTTATGAACTAGGTATTTTACTTGTTTTAACTATAGCTTGTACCACAAATGACGGATTCCCAATAACGACAAAATTAGTATACAATTATTCCTGAACCTGTTACCTAAGATATCTACAAAAACCCTAGTTATCGACTAATAGAAAACAGGGTAAGAGTGGCCTCATGTTATCAAGTAAGACGCTATTATAGTAGCTGACTTAAAATAAACGGGGCGTAGCAAACAATGCAGGACCCTCTGATCTAAGCTTCATAATGTAATCCCATACTCACAACATGTTAAGATGAATAGGAAAAACCTGGAAAGCTTACATTAATTAATATACATATAAAAACATCGTTCTCATTCATATTGGTAAATATGTTAAACAGTATCTAAGTACAATACGTACCTATGAATACATAAAATTAATCTATCCCCTCCGATCGATCCCTCGTCCACCCCTCCGATCGATCCCCCGTCCAATTCAAACAGGGATCGATATTACGACGGCCTGAGCCAAGGTTCGAACCCCTAGTAGTGCCCTCAGACTAAAGTCGTATCCGTCAGGCAGTAGTTGGCCTTCAGCCGCTCCGTAAGTCCTTCCGCGGGTTTGGAGTGCCATCTGCACTCGCCCCCTAACGTCCGGTGAAGCTGTAAAGGCCAGCTGCGGCCAACAGCACTAGAGTAGTCCTAAAAAAATACATAAAATTACCTATGTATATTATATTTTAAGAAATGCCCAGAGACCTATGCGCCTGTGTGCGGAGTGCCTGGTATCGTGGCACGGGAACCATCCCTCATGTTTCAGAATCACTGCTTCATGGATATAGCTCAATGCAAAATGTTCTGGGAAGACAAAAGTGATACGGCGATAAGCTCTTGTAAGTGGAATAGGTTTATATTTGGTAACAGGAATGGCAAGTGGCAACGGTGATATCTCTTACATTATCATTCCAGAGGATTAAGGTCTTATGCCTCCTAGCTTCCAAGTTAGTCGAAACTTGAATAACAGGTAAAACCTTATCTAATATAAATAAAATTAAAGTGCCATTTGTAATATCAAAATTCACAATATTTCACTAAATACATATGGAACTATAAACAGCACCTATTGTCATAAAAAATAACAATTAAATATAATAACTGTCTGTTCTTAAAATATTTGAAAACGCTAGACCAATTTTGGCGGGACTTTCACTCGCAGATGGGTACTAGTATGTAGGAGTAGCTTAGGGTACTTTTATTTTAGAAATATTCTTTATTTTAATAAAAAAAAGTTATAATCCATGCGGACGAAGTCGCGGTTAACAGCTAGTTTACCATAAAAGTATTGATGTTAAGACCTGATTAACTTATATTAATATCATTGCAGCTTATATTGAATCCTCATTTCTTTTCTGCCTTGGTGATGAAATGAACGGACTGTATCGATTCCTGCCTCTTGTGAGGACACTGCAGCACATGGGCCGGTTGAAGAAGAAAGGTCACTTCAGATATAAGCTGAGCAACTTGAGGTTCTTTAACAACCTTCTCTCTAGGCAGCCGAAACTAATGGGATAGAAATGAATTAAACGTGGCTTTGTTTTAAATTAGAACTTGTTTACTTTATTTTTAGTTGTATGTTAATTTATTATTATTATAAAGTAGATTACAGTATAGCCAGGTTCTGATATAGTCTTTATATCAGAACATGACTCTACTCTTACCAAGTTTACACAGACTATTGTCTGTCTAATATACTTGTTATTAATGATTAAAGTGTTCTCGCCTTCCCTAACTTTGTACGCTGGCGTAACACCAGCGGAAGATGAGGACTGAAGTCAGATAGTCCACCGTGAGAAATTAGTCAATTATCACCTACCTAGTTGAAAATGGTACGACTACGTGGATTCTGACTTAATATTTAGGGAATTTTTTTCGTAGTCATTCACATAGCGTCAATTTAGTTCCAATTTAAGCATACCTTACCGTACCTTGTTTATATTTAATATCACAAATATACTATTTTATAGATGTGATAGTACTATACAAATGTTAGAAATACATTTTTTTATTATCATATACATAGAAAACATCCTGACCAATACAAACAACCATACAATCGTTGATATAGTTTTTGTATCTAGTAGGAATCGTACTCACGACCATCGGATGTAAAGAGACTACAACTACTAAATTACTAAACCACCTAACCCAAATAATGATTAGAGTAACAGGGTCAAGATTATAAGTAACACTTCCAATGAAGTAATTATCACACGCAATGGGCAATTTGATCTTGTTAATAATCTGTAACTTTATTCATATGAGAATAATAATAAATAAACAAAAAAATAACCATGCAGACAATTAACATAGCGGCATCTAGTCCAATGGTAAGCAGAGCTTGTGTTATGGGTACTATATAACTGATATAAATACTTAGATATTTTTTGTAAATACATACATAATATACCTACCTAGAAAACACCCAGACCTAGATAATCGTACTCATGAATACAAATGTGTGCACCGTACGAGGAATCGAACCCGCGACCATCAGAAGTAAAGCGGTGTGCTAAACCGCTAGACCACCAAGGCCGTATAAAAAAATATTCTCTTGATATGGTACCATGTAGCGACAACAGTGTGACGCCACCCGGTGACAAATAAAAGATAAGTATAGAATAATAAAAATTTATTGATCAACATTACATAAACAATCATAACAAGTACGAAAATATTATCTCTTACGAACATTATAAAATGCTATTACACATTATTTGGGTTATTACCTTATCTATAATATTATGATTTACAATATGTATTACAATTTCACAAATACGAAGTCCTTTTTGCGTGACATATTTAAAAAAATGTATAATAGGACCGACCATTGCAATGACGGTGACATTCGCCGCGCCGTTCAAAGTTCATGGAAAAATTACCTTACCTGTTTATAGGGTTGGCAAGCGTCCTGATAAAGCCGGACATAGTAAGGTTTTTTATATAGGTCAAAATAAACGGTGCCCGATTTTGTTTAGACTTTTTAAATTTCACTAAACGACTTCGTTTAGGTGGTTTTCTTTTGATTTATTTTGGAAAGTAAATAAGATTTGTGTGTTGTTGTGAATTAAGATGTTTGTGACTTACATTAGAATTTTAACTGTTCATAAACGATTATCAGGATATTAATTTTAACTGATGACTTTATTTGACGGATTAATAATAAGCACTGTATTGACATTCTATTTTATTTACATTTCATTAGAATTTAACAATGTTTATGGCAATAACAAAAAATACTTGATTTTACATACAATTTTTGCTTCGCCTATGAATATTATTAAGGCGCAATTTTGTATGCAATGCCCTAATGCAACCAGAAAATATCAAAGTAAATATCATATTATATCAAAGTAACTATCATAAAATATTACATCAGGTATTTAATATATTTAAATTCGTAAAACTAAGCCGCCTGGCCCCCACTTTTATACTACAATCTATCAATTTTTTTTCCCTTGTATTTACACCTTTTTTATACTACGTAGGTGGCAAACAAGCATATTATGGTCCATGTTAGTAAACGGTTACGATAGCCTATGGACGTCTGTAACACCAGGGATGTCACGTACGCGTGGCCGAGCCTAAAGAAACCTTAATATACCCTTCTTGTTACCCGCGTTCGATTAGATGCGGATCGAGTATATTAAAGTTTAGCGGCAACTTTTGGTTGTTTCGCAATGATTTTATTAACAATAACATGTGCTTCATCGTAATACGGGTTGAAATAATTGCGCACTTTTTGGTACCACTCATTAATTGCGGGATATTTCTCTCTCGGGTCATAACCCGCCATTCCTGTGAGAAACAAAGACTGATATCAATAAATAATAATAAAAGTAAAACCAACTCACTTTGGAACTTATTATATTATGTGCATATTAATTAATGTATATTTTTAAACTATCGAGTTTAATACACTCTCTAGACGTTTCGGGTGCCTACTAACTGATGTCAGCTTGTGACCACGACTTTCGTGTTAAACTATTATAAAGGTATTGTTGAAAAGGGTAAACACCTTTATCTTAATATTAAAACGCGAAAGTTAATAAACATCCATACTTACAGTATGGATGTTTGTTACTTTTTTACGCAAAAACTACTCAACAGGTTTTGATGAAACTTTACAGTAATATAGCTTATGCATCAGAATAACACTTAGGCTATATTTTTTAGCGAAATTTATATATTGAAATTTAACGCGAGTGATACCGCGGCCTCATCTAGTATACAATTAAATTGTTCCTGTTAAAACATATAATAATATTGTAAAACAAATATGTATGAACTTACTTGGCTGTTCCAGCTCACAAATCGCTATCAAATCGGCCACGGTTATAGTATTCCCCGTGACGAAGTCACTACCACGCCCTAACCACTTGGTGCTGAAGTTCTCTAGTGCTAACTCCATACGTTGTTCAAAGCCCGATATTTTTGCTGGAGTTACTTTTGTGCCAAACACGACTGGATCTAAGTACTGGACACATAAAAAAATAGACTATTACAGTAACATCGTAATATACATATGTAGATTATAATACAATTAGTTAGTAGTAGTATAATACAAGTATTTAGTCCTAAGCTAAGAGTTTGTATTATGGGTACTAGACAGCTGATACACATACATAAATATTATTTTTGTAAATACATACAAATTATACACAGAAAATACGCAGACCGATAGAAGTTATACTTATGAAGACCAATGCTTGTGCCCTGTGAGATATCGAACCTACAACCATCGGAAGTAAAGCGGTTTGCTAAACTGCTAGGCTACTGAGTTCGTCAAATTGTCGATTGTATTTAAATTAATTGATTTTGTATACAAATAAGATACTATTATGCTTGTTTTAAAAACCACATATGTACCACATTTCAAGCAATAAATATTAATTTCATTTCATTTCAATTCAAATAAAATAAAGCTTATTTTACAATACAGCTTGTGGAACATAATAACAATACAGAGTCACAAGAGCTTGTCACTAGGTATATTGCATTTAATTAATAAGGCCTGCACATTTTATATATTATACACAAGTATGTATGTTTTTAAATTTTCATTTCAAATAGTTGTATATGACTTTATTTTCCACTTTAAATCTAGCAAGTTTTTCCCAGTGGATTTCACACCTCTCTGTTCCAAGTATTATTCCAAGGGTGGCAACACCCCCCAGGATTACATGAGCTACCATACTTAAAGTCCTATAAAGTAGCTATGCATACAAAGTTAGAAATTAAAGAATTCATACTCACTGCGGTCCTAAAATACATGGCACAAGGGATCCGCAACTCGATGTGTTGCCATTCCAAAAACTCTTCCACACGGGCTTGTTTTTGAGACTCTCTTGGGTATAAATTGTCTGGTATGATTCTTTCACGGGCAAGATACTTGAGTATAGCAACACTTGAAAAATAAAGTTAATACGTATATATAAAATAGCAAAAACCAGTAACACTAGCATCGAGCATCATCATCATCCATCAAGTGATCCAGCATCACCAGATCTCAATATGTAATTCAATGCAGTCCTTTTGAAAAATAATGAAAACTAAAGCAAATATATAGTTAATAATATTAGTTAATTCTTTTATTGAGTTAGTTTGAATATAAAATTCTACTACGACTATTTACCTTTCACTTAAAACAAATCCATTATGATCAATCACTGGCACTCGTTGAAATCTATTAATTTTTTTATATTCTTCTGAATAATGTTCAGCTGAAATTGAATAATCTAATATAGTGTATGAAATATAAGAGATTTAAAGACATAATAATGTGATGTAGTAAATTATATATATGCTTACTATGATTGACAACCTCAGTGGTCTAACGGTATAGCACACCACTTTTTGTCCGATGGTTGGGGGTTCGATACCTTGCATGGCACAAATATTTGTATTCATGAGTATGATTGTTTGTATCGGTCTGGGTTTCTATGTATATTATGTATGTATTTACGAAAAAAAATCTATGTATTTATATCAGTTGTCTAGTACCATAACACTAGTTTAACTAACTTAACTTGGGTCTAGATGGCGCTGTGTGAATTGTCCTGAGATTATTATTATTATGATTACTAATAAGAGCCTGGCATACCATACTACATACATACATATAAATTTAATAATATGATGATGCCTTATTTTATGCAATTCTGTGATAATAAAAATATTTATATAAATAGAACATTAAGTGTGTAAAATAATCATTTATATTTATACAGTAATAAATAACACTGTGCTGTGTACATCACATTCCTTACAAAATAAACAATAAAAATAAAAACTACTATATATACTTTCTTTGTTATATTAGAATATGATTTAGATTGTCATACATTTATTGTAAGCTAAATCAGTAGTAACTATGATAGAAAGAAAACAGTAAGTACTCGATGAGTGGAATAAATGAATGCTATAAATTAGTAAATTAAATAAATACCTTTACGAAGATCCACAAATTTTGGCTCGAAATTACATTTTGTACTTTTTAATAAAATATAAAGGCACCTAGAAGGTTGCGACATAAGGTCACAATATAATTTGAGCGACATTATACAAGTTTTTATATATTTCAATTTCGATTATAAATAAACGCCTGTAATTGTAGAAACAAAATGTATGAATATTAAAATTTATTCTGTAATAATTTTTAATTTACAACAACGTTTAAATTCATAAATAGATGAGTTCAAACATCACAGATAACAAAGATTAAATATTGTTTTCGTTCAAACACCGTTCTAGTCATTGTATTCTACAATAACTTTTGAACTTTGAGATTGAGTGGAGCTATGAGTTAAGACTTTGATTTGAAACAGAAGAAAATATATGTAATTTATACGTGCATTTTATTTCAGAACAGTTTATTAACGTTAGGGAATTAAAATTCTTCGAAAAATCGTTTCATTCCAAAATTTAGACTTTTCATTCAAGTAATAATATTTTTTATTTGAAAACAAAATATTAATTTACTTATTATTAACTAATAAAAACAAAACAGTGAAATAAAAAAATAAACAAAAACACCCACACCAAAATTCGACCAAAAACTAGTGTCGTGAAAAGTAATTGATTACGGAAAAATCGATTAGTCAATAGAAAAATCAATTCACATATGTCACAGACTAACTGACTAATTCAGTGTTGAAAATGACATATAGAATGACATTTTTACTCAGTGTTTCTATCTATAAATATTCCCACGAATAGGGGAATTTTTATTTTACTAAATATTTTATATTCAAAATACGATTCAGTTAGAGATAGGCATAGATATGTTATGGTTACTAGATAACTGATAAAATTATTTAGATACACTATGTTTGTAAATAGGTAACATATTATACGTAGTAACATCCAGACAGACCAAACCATCATACTCATGAATACAATTTTTTACCCCGTGCGTGGATTCGAAGCAGCGACCATCGGAAATATGTATAGCGCTGTGCTAGATCTATGTTTCTTTTATGATAACTACTGAATGAAATTATAATAGTTTAAAATACAGTAGTTTTTGAATAAACGCTACCATAGAATGATGGACAAAGTTATTAAAGTCATATTGTTGACTGACTAGAGTTATCCACACTCTCATAAAAGTTCGGGTCTTCGGGGCGAAACTCTTCACCCAGCATTAACTTCGGCTGCAACAATCCCCGGGGGATTAGATAAATAGCTTCAAAAGTTACGTAGTTGAGGTTCCGTTTATCTCATTTTTGCAAAACTAAAGCTATGTTTTCTGTTTCTGACGGTCAATCGAATTGCTGCTAATATAGTAAATATAAAATAAGTAATAACAAACCAAAATCAATCCAAATAGATAAATTTTTTTTACTTGTTATTATTTTTATTTTCAGGTATTTTCAAAAAGGTATCTAGCAACATTTTAGTCTCTTAAAAATAAAATAACTTGAAGCATAAAAAATATTTTTACTGTTTCAAATTCATTACACATTCAAACTAATTGAATATCATGGCATCTTTAGATTTATTAACACCGCATTTATCCAAGATCAAAATACCGGGGCCGCAACAACTTATATACAAAGACGAATGTGTTTATTCGTTTGATAACCCGGTGAGTTGCACTTTCTATCCTAACCTCTTACGATACTATACAATTTTATTGATATATACGATTTAAAATAAAAGAAATATATATATACAAGTATGACAATACACTTATTTAGTAAATAAGTACCGCGGTTACAATTATATTTGTACTTTATCATTAATCAGAAGCGGTTGTATTCTATCCGTTGATTGAGCTGATCTATTTATTGCATTGTATGATCATGAATAAATACTTAATTTTTCATAGTTGGTAATATACTGTATTAAAGATTTTTAATATTTTTGTAGATTTTTTTATATTGTTTTTCTTTTTGAACTTATACTTTTGTTTTTATGTAGGTTCATTGAATGAGACAAAAGATTGGTTGACTTTTGTATCAGAGAATGAGTGATAATATAAGTCAAATGGGTATCTTAAGTCATTACATTAAATTGGCATTACGGTGTTACTATCTTTAAAATATTTAGTGTTCATGAAATTCTTTATGGCTTGATAAATATTTGCAATAATATTGAACATAGATGTTTTTACACCACTCGTAGAGTATGAACAGAGTATTAATGACAAAAATGTGTCCAACATGACCGGCGTCCAAAATAATATGTTGTATAACAGTTCCCTACTCACATATGTCTTGACATTGTCTCGTTTCACATCCATTATGTGTATTTTAGTTAATATCACTGTAGATAAAGTTATTGGAATGAAAAAACTTAGAATAGCAAGCACAAACATATATGATAGCAAATTTTTGTTATCCACATAGCAGATTTTCATGCATTGTTCATGTAGTTTTGGTCTACGAAATAATGTTCCACTTGTTAGTGTGGTATTACTAAAATCATCATTTGTAATGTTGGTAATTATTTTATAAATGTTCTGTACTATGTTTTCAATTTCAGTTGTATTATCTGCATGGTTGTCTTCATACACATCTAAATAATTAGGTGCCTTCACATATTTGCGCAGCTCTAAAGGAATGTTGGTATCATTATGTGGAGAATTGGAACATGAATAATTGCTATAATCTATGATGGCCATGCAAGACTCATGACCACTGCGTAACTCACTCATTGAGACTCCCATCTCTTTCACACTCATCGCATACATGGCCAGTGTGAGGAGAACAGGAGCAATCCACTGGAAAGCTATTGTTATGTAGGAAAAATACTTTTTCCAAAATGTAAACAATCCTTGGATATTGATTCTTCTTACAGTTATTGATTCTTCAGTGATTTCTTCTACAGCATTTTCGTCATTCTTGATCTTTATGTCTTGTAATATTCTATAGTGCATATAATTGTCTATAATCAAGCTCAGGAAACTATTCACCAATGACACTATCAGTGGTCCATATGTCATTAAAAGTGATGAGAATCCACAATGAATTTCAGTATCACTTTTCTTTGAGTTTAGAAAATGACTCGCCCTCTCATCCATGTTATACACTTGTGCATTGACTAGATTTAATTCATGCAGCGCTCTAAACATAAAAGTTACTCCCACACACATTAATAAAATATTTTCTGATAGTAAAATAGAAGAGAACCTTGTCTGATTCATTAAAACTCTCTTTAAATTGAAGAGGCTTAATGAGAATCCACACAATATAAGAAATGCCCCCAGAAACAGGTCAACAGTGTTTAACATTTTGTGGTGCTTTCTATGACAGTCTGGTGCAGAATGTAACAGTAGTTAGCCCCTATGATTTCGCGCGATGTCTCATGGCGCGATATGAGGTCTTATCTGTCTGTCTATATGCAAATTATGGGGGCTTTAAAGCTGTTTTTAATTTTTGTTTAGTTTTTATTTAATATATTTTAGTTAATTTGATATTATAAATTATTGCCCACCCACCGACTGGTCTCTAAGTTAAACGAAAATTTGTTGTTTGTTAAAATAAATATCTTATTTCATTTTATAATTGTTAGGTGTATATACGGCCTCCTCACCGATTACGTTTTTTATAATAGTTGTTGTCAAAATTTGTTGTTTGATTGACATTGTGTAAATATATTATAAAAAGAGACAATAGAATTATTCTGCGATAACGTACATATTATTTATTATTTAATACATACCATCTCAACACAAAAAAGAACCCCACCACAACATCTGGCGACCGTGACTTCGTACTAAAATGCTGAGATTAAAAAAATCAAGAACAAATTTACGCCGACTATTCACAAAGACTGGGAACCAATTATCAGAGTTATTACAGGAACCCATACCAAATACTGCGGAAATAAAGGTGTGTCATTCACTATTTAAAAGTAAAGCAGATGAATTATTTAAAGTTGATAAAGATATTTATAATGAATGGGTGAATGACGACGAAACAAATGAAGATGAATTTTACGCAGATTGTGAAACGGCAGATGAATTTTTGACTAAATGGATTACTTTAGATAATATGTATAAAGAATTTATAGAACAGCAGAATAAACGTCAACCTGCCTCTCAGTTACCAGTCGCATCATCTGAGAGACACGATATAAATACAAGAACACCAAATGAGAATATGAGCGTCAATGGAGAATCGATAAATAAAGTAACGAAGAGACGATTCACATTACCAAAGATTGAGCTGAAAAGGTTTGATTCCAATGTGAAGAACTGGATAAGCTTTTGGGGTCAGTTTAGGAAAATCGATGAGGATGAGACTATTGACGATGACGATAAGTTCCAATATCTACTACAAGCTACGGAACCAGGAACCAGTGCTCGAGACCTCGTGGAGAGTTTTCCCCCATCCGGTCCGAACTACCATAAGGCGATGGAACAACTAAAGGATAGGTTTGCCCGAGATGAATTAATTATCGAGCACTATGTAAGAGAACTATTACATCTAGTATTGCAAGGTAAGGTAGATAAAATTTATAACCTCCGATTTTTATATGATAGATTGACCACCCAGTTAAGAGCATTAGAAACTTTAGGTGTCACATGTGATAAATATGCAGCCATGCTGTATCCGATGGTGGAATCCGCTCTCCCTGAAGAGATTTTACGTGCATGGGAAAGACGGAATACAGATAAACATAGTAACCAACTTGAACACCTACTTCAATTTTTAAAACGAGAAGTTGAAAGTGAAGAAAGGATTGAGTTGGCTAAGTCCGGTTTTAAAAGTTATATGAAAGAGGTGAGTGAACCGACAATATCATGTATTACATCCGGTACTAGTAAGAAATATGAGAGTGATAAAAAGATAGAGAGAGACGTGAGAAAGAATTGTTTGTGGTGTGAAAAAAATAGTCACAATAGTTCCGAATGTCACAGTGTAGCCAATATGACTTTAGAACAAAAAAAGGAAGTAATAAAACAAAAAAAGGCTTGTTTTATTTGCTTAAAGAAGGGTCACAACGCAAAATATTGTAAAAATTATCCAAAATGTTTCATTTGTGGGAAACGACATACCGTAGTTATGTGCCCAGACATAAAAGGGTCTAAAAATAAGGTGGACACTGTTGAAAGTCAGGAAGTCTTGTTGTGTCATGATCAAATTACCTTACTTCAAACCGTCATAGTGAAAGTAATGAATGATGATAAGACAGTAGAAGTACGAGCATTATTTGATAGTGGTGCTCAAAAATCATACTTGAGAAAGGATATAATTAAACAATTAAATTTAAAATCAACAGGTAATAGAAATATACGTCATTGTCTTTTTGGAGCATATGAAACAAAGGAAGAAATGTATAATGAATATGAAATTACTATACAAAGTCTAGATAAGCAATATGTAGGTAATATGAAAGTACTAGGGAAAGAAAGAATATGCGGCTACATACCTAGAATTAATGAAGGAGATTTGTATAGACAGTTAAAGAAAAAAAATATTATATTAACAGATAAAGGTTGTGATGCACCATGTATAGATTTGCTCATAGGTACAGATTTTGCTGGAGCTGTATTGGATGGATGTATATATATCCAACTAAAAGATAATTTAATGGCTCTCCATACCAAGTTAGGATGGACACTACAAGGTCCAATTGGTATAAATAACTCTCATTGCAATATTATTACCAATATGATGAACCTTAATGAATTAGATATTAGTGAATTATTTGACTTAGAGACATTGGGAATCAAGGATCCATCACAAATTAAAGACAAAAATAGACTTGAGGAGGAAATTTTAGAAAGATTCGAAAACACAATAACCAGAGATAATACAGGAAGATATGAAGTTATATTACCATGGAAAGAGGGACATGAGCAATTGCAAAGTAATATTGGATTAGTTAAAAAGAGGTTGGAATCCACTACTAAAAGATTACTTTGTATCAACAGATTCGAGGAGTATAATAATGTCTTCAATGAATGGCTGGACTTAGGAATAATAGAGATTGTAAAAAATGATGATGTAGTTGGCCATTACCTGTCACACCATGCTGTCATAAAAGATTCCAGTGCTACTACGAAGATACGCCCTGTATTTGATGCTTCAGCTAAAGATAAAAATGGACTGTCTATTAACTCATGTTTAGAAAAAGGAGTGAATTTTTTAGAGTTAATTCCTAAGCTATTATTAGAATTTAGAAGAGGCGCTATTGGTGTCACGGCAGACATAAAAAAGGCATTTCTACAGATTTCCTTGTCAATGAAGGATCGTGATTATTTAAGATTTTTATGGTGGAAAGACAAAGATCGAAAGAATATCGTAACTTATAGACATTGTCGTGTTGTATTTGGAGTGACATCAAGTCCATTCCTATTAGCTGCCACAATTATACACCACTTGAATAAGAGTCCATCTTACTTAATGAACACAGCACAGATATTAAAGTCATCATTTTATGTAGACAACTGTGTCGCTAGTTTTGATACAATAGAGGACACCCAAAAATTTATAGATGAATCAAAACAATTGATGAATACAGGTAAATTCGAATTAAGAGGCTGGGTTACAGGTCCCATACAAATCAAAGGCACGGAAGAACAGAATAATATTTCGATATTAGGATTACTTTGGGAAACAAAGAGAGATGAGTTATATTGTAACACACATAATTTAAGTGATATAAACGAGAAACTGACCAAAAGAAGTTTATTATCTGTAGCACAAAGAATTTTTGACCCAATTGGATTTACTTGTGCTGTTACTATTGTGCCTAAGATTTTGTTACAACGAGTTTGGAGTAAAAAGAGCGCGTGGGATGACGAATTACCGAAGTCTATTGAAAGAGAATTTAAAGTGTGGTTACGGGAAATTCATTGGTTAGATAAATGTCGAATACCACGACGACTAAATACAGGATGTACCGAAAGAAATGATATGACGCTGCATGTATTTAGTGACGCTAGCAAAGACGCTTATGCAGCATGTATATTTTTAAGAACTGAATATGATAGCAAGGTAAATATACAGTTGGTGCTAGCAAAGGCAAGAGTCGCCCCAATAAAAACTATCACTATACCGAGACTTGAATTGATGGCAGCACTTATAGCAACTAGATTGTATCTACAAATAAAGGAGTCAAACAAATTAAACATATCCCAAGTCAAAACTTATTTCTGGTCAGATTCCTCTGTGGTATTGTCTTGGATCAAAGGAAATGAGAGGTGGACTGTATTTGTTCGAAATAGAGTAAAGGAGATCTTAAAATATACAAACATCCACGATTGGCATCATATACCTGGACCAATGAACCCTGCAGACTTACCAAGTAGAGGATGTGATGCATATACGTTGAAAGAGAACCGCTGGTGGGAAGGACCAGACTGGTTAAAATTAAAGGCAACAGAATGGCCGATAACCGAGGTATCTCTTGAAAAAACAAGTGAGATAGTCACAGAAGATACCGAAGAAACTATTGTGAATAATGTCAATTATGAAGAAGAACATTTTAATACGAGGTTAATATATTTCTCTAAATATAGTAAGATAGTAAAAATGATGGCATGGATGTTAAGGTTTATTTACAACTGTAAACAGAAAAAGGAAGGACGTAAACTAGATAAAATTTTGTCATACGATGATTATGAAGAAGCAGAAACTAAGTTACTAATGATTATACAAAGAAAATGTTTACAAAAAAAAAATGAGTTAAAGAAAATAAAAAATATGACTAATTTTACAGACGAAAAGGGTATAATGAGAATAAAAACTAAATTAATTTTGAGCCAAGAGGAAAATAGAGATTTTAAATGTCCAATAATATTACCTTCAAGTAGCGTTATTATATATCGTCTAGTGCAAGAGAAGCACGTAAGCCTTCATCATGCGAATAAACATATTTTAATAGCAACGATAAGAGAACGATATTGGATAATTGGTATAAAAAGACTTGCCACAAAAGTCATAAGTAGCTGCGTAAAGTGTCGACGTCACACTACGAAACCAGTTCAACCGATGGAAGCGGCCCCATTACCAAATGATAGAATAAAAAATAGTGCCCCCTTTGAGGTAACTGGTGTAGATTTAGCAGGACCGCTTTTATTAAAAAATTCGCAGAAACGATGGATCGTATTATTTACTTGCGCAGTCTATAGAGCCGTTCATTTGGAATTGGTGGATTCACTTTCAACTGATAGTTTCATGATGGCTCTTAGACGTTTTATTGCCAGGAGAGGAAGAGTACATACTATCTATTCTGATAATGGCACGAATTTTATAGGTATGAATAGTAGACTTACTAATGTTGACTGGGATCAAATTAGAAACGAATCTAACACATTACAAATCAGATGGAGATTTATGCCACCAGATGCTCCTTGGTGGGGAGGTTGGTGGGAAAGAATAGTACGAATGGTGAAGGAAATGTTAAGGAGAGTGTTAGGTAGAAGTTCTATCAATTACGTACAGTTGGAAACAATATTATGTGACATAGAGGCAACTATAAATTCGCGACCGTTAACTGCTACTGTTAATGACAAGGAAACTATTGTGCCCTTATCACCAATGAATTTTATACAACCTATAGCAAGTACCGATACTACAGATTTAGATTATATCGATATTAATTTAATCACTCGATTCCGATATATACAGAACTTGAGAAATGATTTCCGGCAGAGATTTCGGAACGAATACCTTGCAATGCTTGTTCATAATAATAAACAAAGGAACAAGGTACAGCTCAAAACCGGAGACATTGTTCTAATGGAGACTGCTGACAAGAGGATCAAATGGCCACTGGGCTTAATTCAAGAAATTATCACTGGTGCTGACGGGGTAGCCAGAGTAGCTAAGATCAAGACGAACTCTGGTGTTTTCGTACGCCCCTTTCAGAGGCTTTACCTTCTAGAAGCTCATTTACTCTAAGCTATCTGATGAGTACTTCATGTCTGCGGGAGGATGTTAGGTGTATATACGGCCTCCTCACCGATTACGTTTTTTATAATAGTTGTTGTCAAAATTTGTTGTTTGATTGACATTGTGTAAATATATTATAAAAAGAGACAATAGAATTATTCTGCGATAACGTACATATTATTTATTATTTAATACATACCATCTCAACACAAAAAAGAACCCCACCACAACAATAATTTTGAAATGGGATGTTGTATGTATGTTGTTTTCAAGTAGATAGTAATTAATTTTAAAATTATTTGTTTTGTTTTTTTATGAAGTGATAAAACAATGTGTGGTAGAGATAATATCATTATTTTATAATATTTAGGACATTACATAACTTTTGAGGTAACAATCTTCCATTCAAGTATCTGTCTCAATAAGTCATTAAATATGTTTAATTTTTTTTTATTTGTTGCAGGAATCAGAGACAGGTCTTTATGTGTCGCTGGTAACATTCCTTGGTTTTGGCCGCAATTATGTTGAACAGTACTTCCAGAAGACAGATAATGCTGTCTTTCTTCACATATATACAGAGAAGAAACCTGTAAGTTTGATGAACAATCTGTAAATTAGTTTATTTAATAGAAATATACAATACCAATAGCTAGCACTGTTACCACCAATAGTATTTGTAAATTCTGGAAATACTTAATTAATACTGTAATAGTCTGTCTTGTAAACAGTGCCTAAATAGTTCAATTAAAAATATATAAAACTTAAAGTACAGTTATTAAGTAAATAAGTATGTAAATGATTTTCCAATCACCGGCAGTTAATCAGAAATATAATTAAACACGTAAAGGTTTTAGTTGTTGTCAGATTTGAACCTAATCTTCAGGATCTATGTAGTAAACCATTGAAATCGAAATTATCTACGTAAATGTATTCTTAAGGTCTTAACACTGAGAGATGTTAATACCTTCATTTACCATAAAAATTTTTGTGTTAATTCTCTGTTAACAATATAAATAAATAAGTGTAAATAAATAAATGTATTTAGATACCAGAACCAGAAAAAACCGGTGATGGCCCAGAGAAAAAGATCACACGTCTCGCGATCGGCGTGGAGGGCGGCTTCGATCCCGACAGTGGGAAAGCCAAATTCACATACACCAACCACTACAGTGTTGTAGTGTTGCCCGGCTTCCACACTTACCCTTGGCCAAATCCTGATTTGCCAGAAGTTGTGAGTATTTTTATTTTATTTCCGATAATAATAATATAATAATAACCCACGGATAATTCCCACAGCGCTATCTCGTCTCAACACAAGTAAATCTTGTGTTATGAGTACTAGACAACTGATATATACACCTTTATACATTTTTTTGTAAATACTTAATATGCATAGAAAACACCCAAACCAATACAAATTATTATAATGTGCGAGGAATAGAATCCACGGCCATCGAAAGCAAGGCGGTGTGCTAAAGCGCTAGATCACCGAAGTCGTAATCATTAACCTATCTATGAACATCATAAATCCATGGGTTACACTATCTTAATTATTACTCCCCTTATGCTAAACCAGTAAGATAACGTTTGCGCGCAGTTGAATCGATTTGTTTTCGATTTGACTGCGAAATTACAATGGATATCACATAATCTTGTGATGCCTATAATGCCTTGTATAGTCATTCCGGAGCGCTAAGACATCATGCTACTGTATCCTGTAATTCCACTGCTTTATCCCAGTCTTCAACCGAAACACCTATTACAAATCACAGCGGAAATTGTTGAAGCGGAAGTACCAGCTATCATCCAGAATACAAAATATACTTCGGAATAAATGAAATTATGTCAAACATAAAGGAGTGTAGAAGTATAACAATGTTATTAACAATATTCCCCCGAAACGACTTGGGCGATTTATATTTTTTTTTTATGCATATTCAGTAGGTCTGAGAGTCGGCTATTATCTATTTTTCATACCCTTAAGTGATAAGGGTGGTCCACCCCTAACATTTTTTTAGTATTAGATCAATTTTTGTTTTTTTTATATTGTGGCATTACAAAATACATACAACTCTAGATTTTCCACCCTTCTATCACCAAACCCTATTTTTTTATTAGTGATTTTAATTAATATGACAGAACAACTTTTTCGGAGTCAGCTAGTATATATAATATAGAAAAATGATGTGAAAGTGAAAGTTGCCTAAAATGTACTGTATGAATTTTTACTTTCAGGTAAGAAAATCAGTTCAAGCTGTTATTGACGCAGAATCACCATTCAAAATTGCTGAAATGGCGGCATTAGAAGGTACTTGGGATGGCGAGACCAGGGAGGTCTCTGTGTAAGTCTTTATTTATATTTAATTCTAAATGGTCGCGATTCGAAGATAATTCATTTTAAGTTTAAATATTAGTTTTAATTAAGGTTCTTATGTCAAAGACTAAATATATGTTAAATGTATAGTAATGTGTGTAATGGTTTTTTATTTTTGAACATTATTATAGAGAAATATTAGTTTTCTGTTATATTTTCAATAAATATTTTAACTGTATAATTAAGAAAATCACAAGATTTTACCACGTTATATTTATTTACTAGCTACCCACCCTGTCTTCGCACGGATGTACATGTATTATACATATAAAGCTTCTTCTTGAATCGCTTTAAAATCCGTTGCGTAGTTCTAAAGATTTAAGCATAAATAAGGACAGACAGCGACAGCGACTTTGTTTTATACTATGTAATGATTTAAAATATATTTTTTATATAATAAAATGAGTTAAGATGCTGTGTTTATTTTTTAATTTTACGTATAAATAATGACCGTGTCAAAATAAAACTGAAGTATATATTTCAACTATGTCGAATTTGATACGCCTCTGTCCACTTTTCGTGAAAAAGGGGATTTTAATAAATAATAAACTGATTACTTGGAAAGATTCAAGTATTAATAATTAATATAAGTTTAATAATAGTTAATATTAACACATGAAGCAAAAAGTTTTCACATGAAGTAAAAAGTTTTTGATTGATTACTTAGAAAGAAACACATTTTACAATTTCAAATCAAAACATATTTTACAAATTTAATTCATCATTTTTAGACACGCAGTGAACCTAAAACAGTTAGACAACGGTGTAAAAGTACCGCCGTCCGGTTGGAAATGCGACAAGTGTGATCTCACCAACAACCTGTGGCTGAACCTCACGGACGGGTCCATACTGTGTGGCAGGCGATTCTTCGATGGTACCGGAGGAAATGACCACGCCGTATGTTCTTGGTATCTTATTTTTGTGTCACTATAATGCTGAACACGTGTATCGGCGTCACTATGGTAAATGGTTATTATAGTTTAACAATACCTGCCAGCTAGAACATCTCAGATTAGTCTATGTTTTAATTAGGAGTAGGTTTTTATATTATCTAGTTTTCCTTTTTTTTTATTTTTGTTGACTACGAGAATTCGTTAAATAGGTGTTTTTTGTTTGTATTAAAGATTCAGGTACGATGGTAGTGACGTACCAAAAATAAACAAAAATCCCTAAATAAAGAATAAAAAAATGTCTCAGTTACTTGCCATTTTTTCATAATTATTTTTTTTTCCATCTGTCTAAATCAATCAATAAAATTAGTTTTTTTATAACCCATGACAATTCACACAGCTTCATCTAGGCCCAAGTTAAGCAAAGCTTTTGTTATGAGTGCCAGACAACTGATATATATAGAAAACGCCCGGACCAATGTGATTGTTTGTATCGACCAATACAAACAATCATACTCATGAATGTAAATGTTTGCATCGTGCGAGGCATCGAAACCACCGAATATAAAGTTGTATGCTACACCGCCAGATCACCAAGGCCTTCAAAATAGAATAGAATAGAAAATAATTTATTAAAATAAATTTACATTGAAGCACTTTTGAATAGTCATTGCATTTTTTTGATCTACCACTCATTCGGAAAGCTGTCTCATCACAAGAAGAAAGAGCAAGAAACTTGCGTGTTGCTCTTTTAAATAATTTTATTATTACTTTACATTTTTAAGTTTAAGTGTGTGAATACAAAACGTAATGATGTAACTGAAGGAATTCCTAGACACCTATATTGATCAAATAGATTATGTATGATTTTTTATGTATTGTTACTGTATAGTGTAATTATTCTCAGGTGGAACACTATCGCGAATCAGGTTACCCTTTGGCGGTAAAGCTGGGTACGATAACAGCGGATGGCAAAGGCGATGTCTACTCTTATGCTGAAGATGATATGGTCGAGGATCCCTACCTTGCTGATCACTTAAAGCACTTTGGAATCAATGTTCAACAACTGCAAAAGGTATTAATAAGGCGACGATTTATTAATTTTTAAATTTTACATTGCATATTGGTAAGTTACCGCGCGTTACGATATATAGTGACAGTCAGTCGGCTATAAAATAAGTGCAAAATCCAGTCTGTCATCGCAATACGCTATTTCATTTTATCCGAGAAAAGATAGTGGAGGAGTTAATTGATGTACAATTTATTCCAACAGAAAGAATTTGTGCATTTATGCTTACCAAACCCTTATGAAATGTTTAAAAATGGTATAACATTTAATATTTTTAATCTCCAATGTCTTCTTTATTACATATATTGCTTTTACATTGTAAATTAAACATATATGTGATGATAAGATGTTGATAATATTAGCTGGAGAAAATTAGATTTTTATATATATTTTGACAATTTTAAAATATTGTCTGTTCAATGCTTATCTTTCTAACAGTATCTCAGTCGCATCTACTTCAGCCTCCAAGCATCTTCTTTTGTAAGCTGAGTTTCTGTTGTACGGTGCAAATTGGGTATGATGTTTTAGTCCTACTGAATGACAGTGTATGAGTGTTATTGAGGCTGTCATGATGATGATGTGAAGTTCTTAGTAGTATTTATATAAATAGGCGACGGCTACTGCTTACTAAATAGTGCGTTCAGCTTGTTTGCCATTCCTATTACAATATATAATACGGGAGTCTGGTAATGGTGATGATATGTCTGGTACTAAGGTATTTGTGATAGAAGGCGAAGGGGTCTTACAATGCAGAATTTATATGGACTAATACATTTTAAAATAAACAGATTTAAAATATATATTATTTATTATGCAATAAATAAAATATATTTTTTCAATTTACTTTTATATTATTAACGTTTAATTATACACTATTGAGTAGATTTAATTTTATAATATGTCTTATCAAAATACAGACAGATAAGTCAATGGTGGAGCTAGAACTGGAATTGAACCAGCGTACCGGCGAGTGGAATACGCTGCAAGAGTCTGGCAGCGAGCTGCGACCCTTGCATGGGCCAGGACTCACCGGCCTTAACAATTTGGGCAATTCCTGTTACATCAACAGTGTCGTGCAGGTACAGCATTTATTATGACTTATTCTATTAGGTGATGGATGAAATGTAGGCAAGATGATATGGTTACAGTCTGTTTTTTTTAATTTCGGAGACTAAATTCAAATTGACTTTTACACCTGGTAAATGTCAATTTTTTAAATGTAATGTATGTAATGTTACCAGCTGTAGTGAGTCAGTGTTGTATCTACAATACCAATGTTTTTTGTTTAAATGAACGTTCATAGATTTCGGAGTAACCTATTAGAATGGGTAATATTAATTTCTGATATTGCCACAACCCTATTATATAACCCTTATTACAATAAATTGACAACATGCGTAATGTCTAATTTGTCTCCGAGATTAAATAGCAGACTATAGACAGGGAATGAATACTAGGATGTGTGCGACTGGAAATTAATAGAAAATAAAAGATATTAATGTCTGATACTATTTATTTATATACATGATATCGATCATATATCGATACTTGAGAGAAAATTATAAATGTGGAAGTTTGTGATTGTGAATAGATGGGTGGATTTTTGTTAGTCCTTAAAGCAAAAACTATTGAATGGATTTTATTGAAACTTTACAATAATATAGCTTATACACCAGAATAACACAAATGCTACAAATTTCGCGCGAGTGATACCGCAGACACGGCTCGTAATGCATAAAGTAATTCCGATTAATTATATATTTGCAGGTCATTTTTCGCATACCCGATTTTGTACGCAGATTCGTTGAAGGGGCACCAGATATATTCGCTACTTTCCCAGAAGATCCTGTCAATGACTTCGATGTTCAAACGTGAGTTTCCATTTTTTCTTTATGCGCTAGTAGTTTCTGCGCCATGTATAATTAATTAATTGCACATTCATTGTGCTTATTTGATTTAGTTTTATGCATTTTCATATACAAATAATAGCAATAAGTAATCAGTAATTAATTATATAGTCTACTACTCTGTGCGGTACAGTCAATATTGTCAGCTTAATTGGAATGGATGGTGAGATTTTATTAAATTTAAATGATATTATTCGGATAATGTTATAAATAAAACAATATTTACAGACTATATATTTTCCCACACGCGTCTTCGCAACGTTTATTTATTATTTGGACTACTCTAACTTACTACTTACTTACTACTACTACTTACTTATGACTACGTATTTACGGTTGTACAGCGCAAAACTGGGCGTGGGCCTGTTATCGGGTCGGTACTCAGTGGCGGCGGACGCGGACGGGTCGCAGTGCGGGCTGGCGGCGCACATGTACCGCCAGCTGCTGGGCCGCGGACACGCGGAGTTCCGCACCAAGCGGCAGCAGGACGCGCACGAGTTCTACCTGCACGTACTCACGCTACTAGAGGTAGGCCACGAACAACCACTTTTACTTGTAAGTCGCTAGTCTTAAGCATTTCAGTGACAAAATGCCAAGAAAAATTGTTTATTTTGATGTCCTACAATGTTTTCCACGTTTTTAGTAATTCGGAGTCGGAGATTCCTGACATATTTTTATTGTTTGGGTGTACCAAATAATAAAATATACTCAGCGATATCTCTCTGTTTAATACAAATAGCGCAAGTTCTACTTGCTTAGTTTTTTTTTATTATTTATTCGAGTAGCGGCATAGTCGACACCGCGCGAATCCGTCGGACTGCCTGAAGTTCTCAGTAGAGGAACGCGTGCGTTGCGGTGCGTCCGGCGGCGTCCGCTACCAGCAGCGAGCGGAGCACCACCTGCCGCTGCCGGTGCCGCTGTCCGCCGCCACCAACGCGGGCCGCCTGCGCGACCTCGAGCAGGCGCGCGCCGCCGCCCACAGGCCGCCACTGTGAGTACCGCCACCGACACCATCCACCCAGTTCACTTCATCAGCTGCCGAAAGCTACTATAGCTGCCGTTATATGTACGTTCTTACGCAGTACAGCTTGCAGCCCTTGCCGCTTCAATCCCCGCTTGATTTGGACGAGGGATCGTGAGAAGGATCGGAGATCTCTCGTCCAAATCAATCGGGGATTGAAATTACGACGGCCTGGAGCCGAAGTTCAAACCCCTAGCGGCGCCCTCGGACTAAACTCGTATTCATCAGGCGGGAATTGGCCTTTAGCCGCTCTATAAGTTCCTTCGCAGGTTTGGAGTGCCTACCATCTGCACTCGCCCTCTATTGTCCGGTGAAGCTGTAAAAGCCAGCTGCGACCAACAGCATTAGAGTAGTCTGAAAAAATTAATCACGATTGGGCGCGCTGGCTTTTTATTACAGTATTTATACAGTATTTTTTAAATGTAACTCGTAAAGAATAAAGAAAATATTTACAGCATAACTATGAAAAACTTTAACTACAGAGTAAGTTTTGTATTTGGAATTAGATTAATTATTTAATATTATTTCATTTTCATCCCAACAGAGACCCATCACAAATCGTCCGACCTGAAATACCGTTCCAGGCGTGCCTTGACAGTTTCATGAAGGAAGAAAGCGTGGAACAGTTCTACAGTAGTGCAGTCAATGAAAAAGTCACCGCATACAAGTAAGCTCCTAGCTAGGGCTCGATTTTTGATGGTTATTTTCGGATTCTGCTATAGAAAAATACTTTTAACGTTATATTTGTACAGAAACATATGGAGTTTAGTTTACTCTGTCTGACCTGTAAGGGATCTAGCGTTATAATAGATAGATATTAATGGCAAATATGCAAATGGCTATTGTGAATCTATTTCAACGATTATGGAATGTCCCAATTTCAATATAGTATTTGGATAGTATTATAAAATAAATTTTATATAAAAAATCATTGGATTATTTATCCTCGCTGGATGTGACTACCATGGTTAATGTGTAAATAAATAAGTAAAAACTGTCTGCAAATTAATTTCTTATAAATTATTTAGTTTGAAATATTCAGGAAAAATTAATCTGTCTGTTTAATTTCTAGAATAACCCGTTTGGCCACGTTTCCTGATTACCTTTTAATTCAGTTAAAGAAGTTCACAATCAAAGAAGACTGGACGCCCGCCAAGCTTGACGTCTCCGTAGATATGCCATGGGAGGTAAAAAATGAGAATTAATATTTTTTTTGGAACTATCTTAACATCGACTTATCAAGCCTTTAGCAGATTTGTTGTGGGAATCTGTTGATTCCGTCAACAGTACCTCTAGTGTTGAAGCTATCGCTAAAATCCTATGTATGATGTCTTTTAAGTATATCTTTAAAGTGCTGTTTCAAGGATATTAGTATGATAATTAGATGAAACTAAAATATAATGAAGTCATTTTAATTACATTATTTTCATTGGCTACAGTAAAATAGCAGAGACAGTTGTCTGTTTATTAAAAAAAAGTAATCTTCATTTTCAGTAATCTCTGAAAAAAAAAACTTATAGTACTGTGCAACGCTAGTCCATATAACATACTTTTGTGGAGTGAAGGGATCGTTCGTAATGTCGAATGACCTAATTGCTATGTACCATGTCAGGTTAACCTCTGCACGCTTCCTCCTGGAAACCATTGTGATAAATTCCTGGTGAATTTGTCATGATGGGCTAATTGATCTGACCTCATGCGTTCATCTTATCCCACACTAGTGCCACGCCAGCGTAAATCGTTAGCGCAAGCGGGCGTAACATTCCATCATCATCCTTTAAAAAAAGTTCCTATTACAAATTATGTTCTTACCGCTTGTTATAATTCCAACTCCTTGTTCAACAACCCTATAATCTGCTGAAGCCATCAACTACTACCATCTGAGCATTCGAGCCGCATCAACACGTACCACCGCAAATAATTGTAAATGAAGTAGAAGTAAGCAGTTGTACTTGATGTGTGGTGCAGGTGGACTTGAGTTGCCTGCGAGCCCGCGGCCCGCAGCCCGACGAGACTCTGTTGCCGGACACGGCCACGCCCGCGCCCGCACCCGTCTACAACCAACAGCTGCTCTCTGATCTGGTCAGTATAGCATTTTATTATACTGTAGCAGTGTGTTGTAAAATATTTTTTTGTTGGATAATTATTAAATAATAAAAGTATACCTATAATGTTCTAGGTGTGCTAATGTGTAATTAATCAAAATTACTTTATACATTACTAGCCGTGTCCGTGATTTTACCCGCGTGAAATTTATTATTATTCTGATGTTATAGGCTATATTATTGTAAAGTTTCATTATTATCCATACAGTAGTTTTTGCGTAAAGTTACTCTTTCACACATTACTTTATCCATCCATCCATTCATTCATTCTCACAAAGTTCCGCGTTTATAATTATTATAAACGCGTAAGATATTGTTTTATATTTTTATTAGAGAATAAATATATTATTAAAAAAAGTTTCTCAAAATGGTGACCATCAAATGTATCAAGCTTATGGGCTATCTAATAGTAAAAGATTACCGTAGCCTATTGACTGAGTCTGTGGTTCGAGAGACCATGAGTACAGGAAGAGTATTACGTAATTTACTAGAAAAACTTGTGTCTAAAAAAGTAGAAATAGCTTTTTAGATATAAAATTTGCCAAAAACATAGTTACGCCATTTTATAGGACTATTGTTTATAATAAGACATTACCAGAAGATAAAGAATAAAATTACTTTTAGGTATATTTAGTCAATAACAACTAACACTAAATATTGTAATTATATTAGCACAAGTCAGCATAATGTTAGCACATTTGCGGGTCATGAAAATTCTCTTCAACCTCATATTTAGAAACCTATCACATAAAATAGCAAGTAAATTTAATTTAATTATGTGAAAAGGCCAAATAATGTATGACTCCCAATAATGTTTCTTTTAGATGGAAATGGGGTTTCCTGTTGAAGCATGCAAGAAGGCTCTGTATTACACAAATAACTCGGGAATGGAGGCCGCCTCTCACTGGTTGATGGAGCACATGAACGACTGGGACTTTGCCAATAAATTCGAACCTCCAGAAACACAGACTAGTGGTAAGAATATAGCTTTTTTTCTTACTACACTAGCAGACTTGTATAACTTCTTTGTGTCACATTTTACTTTTTTTTTATATATTTTCTTTTCATGGCAGCTTCGTTGTATCTCTATTATATAGTAAGTAGTAGCCTTCTTAGATAAATCATATTAAGCATTTCAAATCGAATTGGTAGAATCGATAGATTACCCCTGAACATTTAAACTTTGTTTGAATAATATCAGTGTAGATTTCTCATGAATACTACACTAATATTATTAGTCTGTCAGTGGCTTAGTATGACGTTTATATTGATTTTATTTAAGATATACTTAAATAGCCTTGGTTTTCCTTTAATATATAAATAAAAAAAATAAGTAAGTTGTCTTTCCTAGAATGTTGAACTGCACTTTTAAATGTAGTGTCTTTGGATCTTTTGTAGGTGGATGCGCAGCGGCTGTGGACGAGGCGAGCGTGGAACAGATAATGGGTATGGGGTTCGAGCGTGCGCAAGCGCAGCGCGCGTTGTCGGCCACCTCGGGCGACGTGGGCCGCGCCGTCGACTGGATCTTCAGCCACGCAGCCGACCTCGACGAGCCCGCCGCGCCCGCACACCACGACCGCAAGCTCGGCTGCAGGGACGGACCAGAGAGTGAGTACATGCCCACCGTTCTATTTCTCAACACAGGTACCCACCTCATCGGTAGTGTAACTAGCGGCCCACTCCTTAATACGGGTACCTAGTAGATAGTGTTACAGTCGACAGCAACCGTTCGCCAGGGTGCCCCACTAAAGCAGATTTCATTATCTACATATAAGTAAAAGAAGTTCATAGTCTTCGTTACTGATGTCGCCCCTTAATAATTTACTTAACTTGTGGCTCACAAACGTGTGATGTTGGTTTTTTTATACACGATAATGGAAAAAGCCTCGCCTGCGTAACGTTAGAAAAAAAATTATCGCTTCCAGACATAATATCACGCGGAAATTGATACCGATCTGAAAGTAGTAATGTTACAATAGTAGTGGTTCAATATTACACTCTTTCCATTTATTCTGTATATTTAATCATAAAATGGATGAATGTTTATGGAGTCCATAATTATATTCGTTAACTTTCAGAATACAGGCTGATCGCGTTCATATCCCACATGGGCACGTCGACGATGGTCGGCCACTACGTGTGTCACATCCTGCACGAAGGTCGCTGGGTCATATTTAACGACAATAAGGTAACAACCAATACAATTTTATTTTAATAATTGGGATGGCAAAAGATTACGCTAAGTGGCAACCTTAGCCTATATGAAAAACACAGTACTAATAACATACTAATTAAAATTAACTAAACATAACTAACTACACGTTCATGTTACTACTTAATGGATTTATATAATTTTTTTGTTTAATTCTGCTATAATTAGCATATGTGAGATCACAAATATTGTGGAAACTCGACTACCGTTCGAACCTTCACTAATGGTGCTCAAATTCCGTTATTAAGTCTACACACATATGGCGACGTGTTTCGCATCTGAACGAGGCATCGTCAGATATAGCAAGCTTGCTACAAACAACACGGATATAGCTATATCCGTGTTGTTTGTAGGCCTAGTGTTGACTGTTGGCGACCAAACCGCGACATTTATTATGTTACACCATCCTATCATCATTAATCCTTTACCATTCTGGGTAACTGCTGTATCATATATCCATACACTATAAACTTTACTGTCAAGTCACTTTTTAACTGAAATACAGCTTGCCAAGCAAGCAGTCTTTTTACATAGTTTACTGCTGTTCATTAATCAATAATATAGAAAGGTTTTTAATTAATTTTTATTTTATAGGTCGCCCTCTCTGAAAACCCTCCCAAAGATCTCGGTTACCTGTATTTATATGAAAGGCTGTGATGACAATATACAATCAAAGGAAGATAATGAATCATTGGTACCAAAAATCGCTGGCTCGGTCACATGTTTTACAGGATTTATATGATGTGGTATTAAGTGTGGAAGTTGTAAGTGATTCTAACTACTTTTAGGCGATATTTATTATATATAGATATGTTGTATTTTAGTAATTGCAATTAGATTAATTACAAAATTGTATTATCTAATATAAGTAGTTATTTTTCATATGAATACATTTGTTTGCAGTTTTTTTATTACATACTTTGAATATGAACTTGTAAAATGATATTTTTTAGCATATTTGCTTGCCCAATTTCGGTTTTATTTTGTTTCAATTACAGTTAAGGGGCCATCTTTAAATTACTTTACCTCTAAATGTGATGTAATTTAACGAGTTGCCCTTAATTGAACATCACACGCCTCTAGAACATGTTCTGTTGTATTTAATATTGTTAACAGCTTTCCAAGTCTCGCCTTGTTAATTTTGATGTGACAACTTTTGGAATTACTCAATGTGTAAAATGAAAAATAACAATGAAAATTTTAAATAAATTATTACTAAAATGCTCTCTTATTTATTGTTTTTATTTTATATTTATAAAAGTTTCATTGGTTATAAGATTTTATCAATAGTGTTAAGACTGTATGATTGGATTTATCACTACTACTACTACTTACCACTTTAACCTATCATTGATGATTTTTCCCATCTATGAATATTCTCCTTTGTATTGATTATGTACACTATATGAAATTATACTATTAGTTACACTATTCGTTTCGTACACTATATGAAACTAAAAAAATAATATAAACACTAATTTATAATATTTAATTCAATACCTCTAAAATTATACTATACAATAAAATTATCGCCTAAATTTCTCCCAGGGCTTAGGAATCCTCTTCAGGAATATTGTGCTTTCATCAAAGTATGTGTTGAACTTTTTATGATCTCGTCTCTTTTTTGGATCTTTTGCACAATTCTTTGGAGTCATATTTATCATGAGGCCTGAAATTAACAAACATTTATTTATTACAAATTGATTCTTATTACATCTTGGTTGCATAATCAATTTTATTGCAATAATTACTATCCATAATAATTAAAAATATCAATGTCAGAAAACATTCAATTTGAATATTTCATGAGTTTTATTTGTTTAATACCCACTGACCATCTGTTGTAACATCCCAATTTTTATTTTGTTTCTATTTTGCAGTGTAAGATTAGTATTCAAAAGTCAATGTTATCAAAAACTTGATGTTGTTACTTTTGACCCTCAATCTTTTCAATTTCAAATTAAAATCAAATCAAATATCATTTATTCATTTAGGACATTTTAACCACATTTTTTTTTAATTCTTGTATAAATAAAAAACTAATATATTTCCCTTCTATCCAGTTCAGTATTGAATTGAATTTCATTGATTTGCCTTTCATTTCATTGATCGATCAATTGAACTTCTTTATAATTTAAATTTATTCCATTTATATACTGTAGCATAGCAAAGGTACAACACAATGCTGATTTGCAACAGGGCCAGTAAATATGAGACAGACTTTGTACAATGCTGAAAGAAAAAGTAGTAGTTATAATATTAAACCTGCTTTCTGCGCCATGGTCACCATTTTGCCTACTTTTTTCTGCTGTCGGCGGCAGAGACCCGTGATTCGTCGCGGTAGCATACAGCCATCGGATCTTACGAATTGGCTTAGAATTAGTACATCTGTATGCTTCACATCTAAACCAAGAGCACACATATAACACGGTGGTTGCTCAGACTTTACTAAAGGTTCAGGAGTTGGGATCAATTTGTCAGCTCGTATTAAGTAATCCTGACGAGGAGATGGCACTTGCACGCCTTCTATTATTACAGTAGATCCAACAGTTTGTTCCCGTACTAAAACAATTATTAATTAAATTGCCAGCTAATTCTAAACTTAATTGTAAATAAAAATTAACTGGCCAACAATTTATATAGGTTAGATAAAAGTTATACATAAATTTCAACTTACTTTCTTTTAAATTAAGTTTATTTGTGGTAGATATAGCACGAACAGGTATAGAGTAAATAGATGTCTTTAGAAAAGAAAAACTACTTTTAACTAAAGCAGACATTTTAATTGATTCGCATAAATAATTATTTATAAATATTAATTTTTAAGTATCCTTATATTCCGTGGCTTTCCTGATAAATGAATTTTTGAAAACTGACTGCCTATGTCAGTAATCATTCAGTCTCTTACCGTGGTCGTCATTTTGCAACTGTCATGCCTTTAACATTGCTGTCAGTCGTAGTTTCAGATTATAAAATATTGGACATATTATTTTACCGAAAGTTTTCCATGTAACGTTTTGTTGTTGCAATTCATCCATTAAATATAGAGGTAAACGTAGTGGTTTCTTGCTCAGTGAATAGTAGAAAATTCACATTAGATATAGCAACTCAGACCATATTTTGTATTGAATCGATAAAATGACTATAAAACCGCGAAATTTAAACGACTTTCAAAAGAAAAACTTCTTCAGGACAATGCTGCATTAGAACAATAAGTAAAGAAGTCATGCCATAGTTATTGTCGTAGTTCATTACGGTGCCCATGTAGTTAATACATAATTCATAATGAAGTAATACGAAATTTATAAGTGCACTCTATGTAACTAATAACTCTATGTAATAAATAAGTATTATTTTACATCATTTACATATAATAGGTAGTATTACTTTATTGTATATATACTCATTATTGTATTTGTGTATTAAAATAATGTGAGCAATGTTAATATGCAACTTTAACACAGCATGTTATCACAAATATCTTATAAAAATGTATATATGGTTACCGTCCCTTTTATTACAATGTTAAATTACAATTTATTACAATGTGCTAACCGACCTGACCTCATATTCATTTTATCATCTTTCACTGGTATCAGAGTGTACAGTTAGTACATGCATACATCAAAGTTATACTTAAATTAACTGCATTTAAATAAAAAATAAAACGAAATGTGTGGCGCAATGCATTTATTAAACATGTAACACATATAGAGATTAAATTTATCACTACAAAAATTATGAGTTGTTTTCTGTAGCTTAAAATAATTTGAACCACTTAAAAAAAATACATTTAGAATATAATAATATAATTGCTTTTTAAAATTCTGTAAATATAACAATTTACATAGGACAAGCACATTTTGAATAAAATTAATATTTTCAAAAATAAGCATTTCATTTATTAAATAATATTTTTACGACTTTATTTTTCAAAAATACTACACAATCCTGCTAAGCAGTTACAAGCGTGTACGTATAACAGATTTTACAACATTTATTTGTTTATGTGGTATCACATTTTCGTCTTTATATATGAATATGATACATTTAACTTGTACTAATTTATTAGGAACAGAGAATATTGAACTTTGTACGAATAAAATTTATAAAAAAAGGCCATTAGTGGACGGTTTAAGCTAAGCCTTTGCATATATATTAGGGTCACCCTTTTCTCGAGTACAATGTGTGCTTATAAATTCGTATTAGAATTTATGTTGTAGATAAAACAAAATAAAACATTTGTACCCCAGAAATGCTTTAAAATGCAAAAAATCAACACATAATTATCTTAACGTTATATCTACTATACATTTAATGACAAATTATAATTACAAACTAAATAATTTGAATTTCCAAAATTTGTGACATACATTATTAGCTTAATCAAAAATATGTTCTGAATTACTGGTGCTAAATAAATATAACTATTGCAATAATAAAATTGTACATTTTATTATAGTATAAGGTAGCCGTAATCGAGAACAATGTGCGAGTGAATATTTGAACAAAACACGTATGACGACTAAAACAAAATGTACATATTGTGAAAACTAACAGTATGTTTTGTCATATATATAAAAATGTTTGTTCTTATTTCATGTGCCGTCAACCCGTTGAAAGAGAATGTTATATATAACCATATATGGCGCTCGTGTTCTATGTCTATGGGTGATTATATTACATTTTTGTACCAATCAAATTTTCCTACAGCAATGCCGAGTAGCAGCTAGCATAATACAATATTTCGTGGTTCATAAATACGAAATACAGATACATAAATATTTATTTTAATAATAAATTGATCTGATTATTCGTATGGTGGCCATACTGTTCGCTTCCACAATAAGAGAAATTCAATGTGCAGACACCGGCAACGGCTCTCTACTTGGGGAAAGCAGATAACCCTTTGCTAAGGAGTCCCGAGGCGTTTTCTGCGCCATCATGCGCTGCTGAAGACAGGTTTGATACCAACTGGAAATAAAGAGAGTATTGTGTTAAACTCTGCAGACAACTGAAAAAATATGGGTACTAAACAGCAGAAATACTCCAAACTTTTTTAAATAGATCATATACATAAAAACCATACAGAACATACAAAAAACATAATCTTAAATTAACCCCGTACAATATGCGATTTAGTGTTAGTTGTTATGGGTACTAGGCGACTGATCGCAAACTGAATACATATGTACAGTTTAGATATGTTTTCATATATGACAACATATATGATAACACAATAACATCAGTTTGCATATATATGATAGCACTAATTAGACGCATTGCAAGTTATATACCACGTAGGTGTTATTATGTAAATCCCTAATCATTATGGGAATGGAGAAATCTTTAGAGAGAATTAATACGAGTATAATCCTTTATAAAATTTCAATTTTGTGAAATCATCAATTACAATGATTTAATTTTAAAGCCTAGTTCCAAATATATGAATATTCTATTTAATGTATGCTGTAATGTATAATGTATAAAAATATATAAAAGATATAATGTATGTATATAAGATGTTCGCGCACTTGATTGTGCCTACGAAAATGTAACACATTTAACTCAGCCATTTTCATATGTACTTTGTTGCTCTGTACGATATACTAAAATTAAATATTTAAACACGTAAAACATCGTCTGTCGATCACGAATTTCCAATATTGTACTAAAATCATATGCAATCTTTCCAACAAAATAATATAGGTAAATTCATATTTTACATACTGTGTCTCTTTTCTCGCTGAGGTATTTGTCGGTATCCTTGATCTTGGAGTCTACCACATTACCGGCATTCTTAAGTCCCTCATCGGCGGCATTCTCGACCCTCTTGAAGGTGTTGTCGATCGTGCTGTGGACAGCATTGCTGGCGTCTGAGGCCGCCTTTTCTGCCGCTTTCTTGGATTCTTCCACCGCAGCATCTGTGACACATTTTTTTTATTTAACTATTTGAATTACTTAATCTACGTTACCGCCGGATAGATGTATTATTATAGCTGAATGGAAGTTGGTCTTTACCAACCCGATTCTACCTTCATGTTATAAAAAAATAATTCCCTGTAAAAACAAAACACAGTTTACAAAGCAATCTGCTTGGCGGGAGAATAATAATTGACATTTTGGTTATTCCTATACGTATATTTTTAGTATACTTACTGGCCACCCTCTTGGCTTCATCTCTGGCAGCCTCAGCAGCAGCCCTGGCCCTCTCCTTGGCGTCTTCTGCCGCCTTCTTTGTCGAGTCTACTGTTGTGTTGATAGTATCTATAAAACGAGAACATTATTCAGTATTGTCATAATGTATTTAGTGAAATATCACCATATATCAGCATGGCTTGTCCAGATTTCTAGACCTAGAATTATCAGAGCCGTCTCTAGTTAATCAAGTTTGTCTATTCCCGTAAACGGAAAAGGAGGTTAAATTTAATTAATATTATACCGTAATATAAACAAAAACTGGATTGTTTCCCTGGTAAGTAATCAATGACCTGTCTGTTATAACGGAGCTAGAAGTTACAGGTATCTAACTTCTGAATGGAATTTCATTAAGTATACTATATTATATTATTAGTTTATTAGATATACTTATTTCGACTTCATTTGTTTTATTACAATTTAACGGCCAATTTTAATACGTCATCATATATCACCGTCAAAGTATACCTGACGATGATACATCGGTTGATGCGTTTAGAAACCGTAACGGAGTAGAATTAATTAAAAAATCATTAGATATGCTGGTTATAGTATATTATTAAAAATAATTAGATATTATACTTACGCGACCGATTTCAATACGCCATCGTATATCGTCATCAAAATATGCTTGATGATACATCGGTCGATACATTTATAAATATAATAAAGTGGAATTAATTGTAAAACTTTTCAAATAATATAAATATTCTATATTGCATTTATACTAATACTATAAGTATTCAATTGTTTAGATAATATCAATTTAAGGATTTCTTTAATTAACCGGCATACTCAGGTTTGAAGTAGAGACGGCACTGATAATCATCATTGTTAGAGCCACAACATCAAATCCAACGTTCAGTTAATTCGGTTCGAATCCAGCAGTGCACTTAGCTGTTTTACCGTTGTCAACAAATTTAACTGACATTGGAAAACTTGGGTTGTGATATTAAAAGCGTATATTTGATTAGAGTCAATAAAAAACAACAACGCATTCTTTCAGAAGTTATTTCAGTCTTAGTGTCGCGAACCCCTTACAATTTACAATACAGGATATAAGAAACTCTCATCATCATCATCATCATCATCTGCTTCTTCCTTATCCCATTTATTTGGGGTCGGAACTCTCATATCACCTACCTGTCAAAGAAGCAGTATTTAGATGTATGTAGTGTATAGTATTTACGGTACTATTTTATGTGCATTTAGTGAAAAGCTGTCAATTTGAAATTACAAACAGACAATTTCATTTATTTCCTTAGATGAAAATCTGGAGTCTCAGTATATATGTTTAGAAAACATATTTCTGTACAAAAATTTGTTATGGTAAGATACTGACTCAGTTCAAATTTGAAATATTGTTTCATTTTACATTATATTTATTTCTTTTGTTTTTCTATAATTTTTTTGATATATGTATTTGGTTCATTTGTTGGAAATGAGTTTCCTCAAACAATAATTATAACTGTAAGGGGATCGCGGACGTAAGTAATCAGAGATAAACAGCATTTAGTGGTTATGTCTCCAAATAATTTCTCCAAGCTGTGAACAATTAGCAATTTATTTATTCTAATGTACCGGCAGATTTGCCACCTATCTTCTTACACACATCCGTGGCGGCTTTAGTCGAGTCACTTGCGGACTTAGTTGTAGTTTGAATTTTATCTAAAAATTAATTTAACATTAACACAAATCTAAATATCGGGAGTTGTTGTCTACGTACCTTTTATGTTGTCCATAACTTAATATTTATGCCGTTTGAATAGAGTTTGAAATGGTGAAGTAAAAGGAAATTTAAGAAAACATAATTCCAATAAAGATGAGCATAGATTAATATATATTAATAGAGATCTACTACTATACCTTTAGCTGTTTGGAGAACTCCACCAGTCTCTTCTTCGGGTTCGTCTGGTGTGTTAGAAAATGTGCTTGTTATTGTGTCTAAGAGAAATCAAGTTAAATAACATTAAAAGAAAAGTAAAGAAAGGAAATAAAACAGAGTAACAGCATGCACCCAAAAAAACAAGCATATGTCTAGTAACAAGTCAATAGTAATAATAAAAATGTACAATATTTACATTCGCATGCCTGTTCCCTGTATTAAATATATACATTCATTCTCATGTAAACAACGGTTATTATTTATATTTAACACATTCTCAAAGCAATATAAGAACAACCTGTAGGACAGTCTAATTTTATTTCGTGTACGTTTAAATTTACATGAAATAGATGAGTTTTGTTGGCAAACGTCATAATAACATAATTCCTTGTAATATACAGCTAGCTGAGCCCGTGACTTCCTACCCATCTAATCTTCTTTTTGCAAATTGAAAACCGCTCCCATATCGGTTAAATCGTTTCGCAGAAAGATATTTAGATTTTTTTGTGCCTTTTCAGAAACGCACAGAAAAAATCTAACAGTCATTATTTTAGGTTGATAAAGTCCCCCAATAATAGATTACTTAATATATGTTCTATGTACAAAAAGCGATCAATTAAATATTATTTAGTCATAAAATTTATTAAAATTGTTAGAGTTGTTGTAATGATTTTTGTATAAACTATTAATTTATAATGTAATACGGTGTTAATATATGTTGTTAATGTAAAGCTTGGGTTTAATGTCCGACTATATCGATACCTTTCGCTGTTCCAACTAGAGAGGCACTTTTATCGACAACGGCCCCAGCGACACTTTTAGTTGTATCTATAGTATTCTTTACACTGCTTGCTACTGTATCTACAAGTGTTAACAAATGTTACGTATACAACGATGGTAGTCTAATAAGCTGATGCAAAATTACACTCATTTAGCACGTAATCTATATTTTTACATTAAATAAACACGCCTTTGAAATGACGTGAATGAGAAATCACAAAATTATTAATGATATATATATGATACCTTTAGCGGTGCCTATTAATGATGTGCCTTTGTCAATAACTGAAGCTGCTACGTTTTTAGTAGTGTCAACTGAAGTTTGAACTGTATTAGCCACTGTATCTATATTGATGGAAAATTAATTGTTCGTAATTAATTACATTTATAACATCAACAAAGAAAAAGTAGTGTAATCACTTTTTTTCTTTAACATCTAAAACAATTATGATTTGAATAACTATTACTATTGAATTAAGGGTATTAAAATGATGAAAATAACAAAAACAATTGTTAATTAAAATACACGAACGAAAATCAATTTTTACCTCTAGCAGCTCCTACTAAAGAGCTGCCTTTATCTATGGCAGAGGCTGCGGCATTTTTTGTGGCATCTACAGTACTTTGTACCGTGCCTGTTACGGAATCTAAAATAAACATAACCAAAATAAAATCTAATAATATAAATACTTTTAATCTTTTAAAAAATTGTTATATGATATCTACAGCACTTTATGCGACATCAGTAAATCAAATTAAATAAACAAAAATAAGGAGAATGAAATAACATAACTCAACTAAATAAAAGAAAAATACCTTTAGCACTTCCTACAGCAGAACTGCCTTTTTCATAAGCTGATACGGCTACATTTTTAGTGGCATCTACTGTATTTAGAACTGTGCTCGTAACAGTATCTACAATACATAACAAATCATAATAATTGATCTTGATAAAACGTTCTAAGACATTTTTTGTAAAATTATGTATAAAGATATTGTACCTCTCGCAGACCCTAAATACGATGTGCCTTTATCAACTCCTGATGTAACTACATTTTTGGTATCATCTACAGTGCCCGTTACTGTATCTACAAAGCATAAAAATAATTCTCATTTGATCTCAAAATTATTATGCATTTAAACTAAACAGACATATAAAAAATATACCTTTGGCCGCTCCTACTAACGAAGCACCTTTATCGTAAACAGACGCAGCGACATTCTTAGTACCATCTATAGTGCTTTGAAATGTATTCGCTACAGAATCTACAATAAATAATAAATAATGGTAAACAAAATCAATATATGCAAAATAAAAATAAATACCACTTTTTTTTAATAGAATACCTCTAGCAGCTCCTAAATAAGATGTACTCTTATCAACTCCTGATGTAGCAACATTTTTGGTATCATCTACAGTGCCCGTTACGGTATCTACAAAGTGCAAAAATGTTTCTCACATGAAGTCAACGGAATGCATTTAAAGAGCCTAAAAATGTATTCAGATTTAATTATACCTTTGGCCGCTCCTACCAGCGAAGCACTTTTATCGTAAGCGGATGCAGCGACACTCTTAGTGCTATCTAAAGTGCTTTGAAATGTGTTCGCAACAGAATCTACAAATATTAATAAATAATTTAACCAATGCAGACAAATAAAATTACATTACGATGTCTACAAATACAATACCTCTGGCTGAACCTAAATACGATGAACCCTTATCAACTCCTGATGTAACAACATTTTTGGTATCATCTACAGTGCCCGTTACTGTATCTACAAATTGAAAAAATCGTACTCGTAAAATAAGCACACCAAATATATCAAATTGAGGTGTCGTAAATTATAGTGCAGAATATAAAATATACCTTTGGCCGCTCCGACTAGCGACGCACTTTTATCATAAGCAGATGCAGCGACGCTTTTAGTGCTATCTAAAGTGCTTTGAAATGTGTTCGCTACTGAATCTACAATAAATAATAAGTAATTGTAAAATAAACAATGTAGGCAAACAAACAAAAAAACACGATTTCTTTAGATAGAATACCTTTAGCAGCTCCTAAATACGATGAACTTTTATCAACACCCGACGTAACAACGTTTTTGGTATCATCTACAGTGCCCGTTACTGTATCTACAAAGTGCAAGATGATATTTGTATAATAAGCATAATAAATACAATACAATAATAAACTCAAAATTATTGTGCAGAAAATAATATACCTTTAGCCGCTCCTACCAGCGAAGCGCCTTTATCGTAAGCAGATGCAGCCACACTTTTAGTACTATCTAAAGTATTTTGAAATGTGTTCGCTACGGAATCTACAATGGATAATAATGTCAATTTACAGTATTATACACAAATAAACAAATTATGATTATTTTAAGTATAATACCTTTCGCGGTTCCTAAATACGATGTACCCTTATCAACACCGGAAGTAACTACATTTTTGGTTGCATCTGCACTGCCTGTTACTGAATCTACAAAGTGTAAAAGTTATATATTTGTTTTCGGTCAATATATGAATATCGAAATAAATATATAAATACTGTATGTAAATAATACCTTTAGCCGTTCCTACAAGTGACGCGCCTTTCTCATAAGCAGACGTAGCGGCATTTTTGGTTGTATCTAAAGTACTTTGAAATGTGTTTGCTACAGTATCTATAACGAATATAATAACAATGAAATTAATGTTTGGCTTCAAATTTATATATAAACGTAATATCTACATTTAAAATAAAATACCTCTAGCAGTTCCTATATACGACGTGCCTTTATCAATTTCCGATGTAGCTACATTTTTTGTATCATCTACAGTGCCCGTTATTGTATCTACAAAGTGCAAAAATAATGTTCATATAATAAATTTAAATAAATACTGAATTGTTCTGTATACAATTTATAGCTTCATACAGGACTTATAAACTAATAATTGTATACAGAACGATTTCAATAAAGGTATATTAAATCTGCTATCAAGTACTAGGAAATCAAAATCATGCAATCATGTATTGATAACCCCAGAAAATATATACCTTTGGCTGTTCCCACTAGCGAGGCACCTTTATCATAAGCTGATGCGGCAACATTTCTAGTAGTGTCTACAGTACTTTGAATAGTATTTGATAGTGTATCTACAAAACAAAATAATAAAAATATGCAAAAAAATGCAAGACAAATTATAACGAACTAAATACATAAAATGTAATATATACCTCTAGCGGTGTCTACAAGAGACGTGCCTTTTTGGGCAGCGGTGGTAGCGATATTTTTACTTGTATCTACAGTGCTTTGTACTGTGCTAGCGACAGTGTCTACAATGTGAAAACAATACAAATTTATAAAAACTTTTATTATTGCAAAAAATAATAAAACAAGTATAAATTGATTAAAATTATACCTTTAGCTGTGCCTACAAGTGATGTGCCCTTTTCTATAGCGGATGCAGCAACATTTTTAGTTGTATCTACAGTGCTTTGAACTGTGTTTGCCACAGAATCTACAATGATGATAAATATAGCTATTAATATATAATGCAATTCATAAATTTAAAATTGAGATATTAAAAATATTGAAAATTTCTACAGTGCAATAAATCAACACGCGAGTCAAATAATTATACCCACTATATTTGGAGTGTTACACATACCCTCTGTCTCGATCTGAGGATTGAACCGTGATCCACTCATCCAACTTCATGTCAAGGACGATCGGATTTGCTTTAGTTCAAAATTAAATACATTGTAAATTCTATCCTTTCTAATTGCATTTTACTCTTTATGACATAAATTTATAAGTGTAGTAAAATTGAACATCTACAATTATTTAGTTTTAACTCACTCAAAAACCAGATTAGTCAATTTTACTTCATTTGGAAATAGGCATTAGGTTTAATAATAAACACACAATAGGTATGTATACAAGTAATCATCGTAATATTTATCTATCGGTCCCTTACGGGTTGCAAAGAGAATATAGTTCTTAATTTTACATACACCTACTTTCATAACGATAATCGCATAATTAGGTAATCTATATCTCTACGGATCACTTTTACAAAAAGCTGTTAATGCTAATTGAAGCATGGTAATGTCAACAATAAAGTCTGTATTTTGATGAAAATATATCAAAGGATAGTACCTCTAGTGTTTTCAATAAACGAAGACCCTTTCTCTATAGCAGACGTTGCGACATGTTTAGTAACATCTAAAGCGGCGTGCACACTATTCGACACAGTATCTACGAATACACATGCCAGTGAACATAAAACATTGAACACAACAGTAAGACAAGCAACAAAATATGTATGGATTGTAATTGAATCGGTCACAGCTGGAAACTACAAGAATCACTTTATTTCTAGTTAAAATTACTTGAACGAGTATTAACGTAAGAAAATAAAAAGCACGCAGGTGGTATTATGATAATGTTGCATGATAGTGATGATGACATATCATTGGGATCTAACAAGGTAATAATTTAAGAGCTCTCTCACTCTCTCCTGAATCACAAATCTGAACTAGTATATGTGCAGAGGCTCAAATACTTATTTACTTCTTTGTACCGCGTGTACATCTACCGTCTTTTTGTGGATTAAATATGTAATATTCCTGAGTGTGTTTGCAAAAACAACTTTCTTGGAATGATGTAAATATAATTCCACGACCTCATAAATAATATAATCTTACTACATACGTAATTGCAAACAATCGTGTAATAAGTTTTAAATTTACAGGGAAGAGGTGATGATGGTGATAATAAATTACAACACAACGAAGTATATACAACATGTTTACATTCATCATGATATGAAGAACTGAGATCGAGTGAAGAAGCATGTTACGTTACCTTTAGCTGAGTCAACATAACTCTTTCCTGTATCGGCAGCTGACTGAGCTGCATTTTTAGTATTATCTACAGTGCTTTGAAATGTACTTTGTACGGAATCTACAAACAAAACGATATGTGAATAACATAACAGTGAAAACAGACATCACAAACACACTCATTTCTATTTACCTTTGGCTGAATCGACGTACGATTTGCCTGTTTCGATAGTGCTTAGAGCAGCTTTCTTTGTACTATCTACAGTGTTTGCTACCGTATCTACGAAATAACGAAAAAGAAAACTTGAAAATCATAATTTTGTAATTGCTTTAATTATAAAAGAAAAAGCAAATTAAATGGCACATTTATTTTTAACTTAAGTGCATTACTTTTATAAGGAAATGACGTTGTGGTCATTAGGGATTTAAAAAGCAGTCTAAAATAGTAATGTAAATAAATTTAGCAGCAAACAAAACGCCTACCTTTAGCGCTATCTAAATAAGATTTGCCGATGTCAAAGGCTGAGTATGCAGTATCCATTGCTGTATGAAAGGAGCTCTGAGCTGAATCTACTCGCAAATAGTTGATTAGTTGGAATTATGTAATATTTAGTTAGAACACAAAGGAACGTCACAATACTCAACATAAAACATAAAAACTAAGTAATATTAGGACTACAATTAAAGCTTATATTAGAAATATATAGCGGTATAGAATAAAAAATATTCAGTATGAACACACAACACTTAATACCTCTGGCTGCAGCGGCATATCCAATGCCGGCATCAGCTGTCGTTTTTGCAACTTTTTGTGTATTATCTACATTACTTTGAATTGTGCTGGTAACAGTATCTACAAAATTAATAATACGATATTCAAAAAGTATAAATATATTAATTATGTTCCTACATATATCATAACTTCACGTCCGGGCTTCGCTCGGGCGGACATTTCCGCAGCGTATGCGATTGTTAATTTATTAACACCTTTAATTACAATATTAAATTGTAATACAGATCCAAATATAAAAAATAATATAGCGCTATAGTTACTCTAGAAAAATGTGGAATATGAAAGAATTTTTGATCTTGGTCTAGTAGATTTGGAGGTCATTTATAAACAGACACATCTATCCACTTTACAATATTAATACAGATTTAGAATTTTCTTTGGTATTTTAAACCCAAAATCCGTGCTAGGTAAATACTCACGTAATCAATAGATGATTTATCAGATATCTATAGTATTTAATAATTTAATCTTTAACATGTAGATATAGACATACATAGGGATTATCAATGTTTTTTTTCTATTTTATAAATCGGTTTATAGAGGAATGTACGTTAAAATATATGATTATATACACTTCAAAACAAAAAACAGTAAACGTCCTAAACGATAATTTATTTTCGCGTATTTACTTTTAATAAAAATAGGTTCAAAAATGGATACTTCTATATTGTTTCTCATATGAAACTTTGTGTATTTGCTTGCGAATTGCTCTGAGCAAAGACTATATGTTTTAGTTTGAGACTGTATCAGAACAAATGTTTATTTGTCAACCAGACCAAAAAATTAAGTGGAAGAGGAGTCCTACTATAAGTGTCGATACTTTAATAATTGACCCTGATTTGCATCAATTTTCTACAATTTAGTAGGTATTCGCGACCTGTACGAACTATTCTCTACTGAAACTAATCGAAATGTATACATATATAGAATTAAAACTTGCCTTTAGCACTACTGGCGTACCCCAATCCAGCATCATAAGCCGATTGGGCGGCTGTTTTTGTACTTTCAACTGTGCCGTGAAATTTATCTACGAAAATAAGCAAATAATTATAGAAAAAAATATCAAATACGAATAATTTTACACATCGAGAGTTTGAAAGGAAAGCTAGATTGTGCCAGTCGCGTAGGACGCTTATTGTGAAAGATGTTAGTAGGCGTCAGGTCAAAACATGCTGGTACATTTACCTTTTGCGCTGTCGACGTAACTCCGGCCTGTATCGACCGCAGATTGGGCGGCACTCGCTGTATTGTCAAATGTGCTACTGACAGTATCTACAAATTGTGCAAATCAACTTAGTAATACATATGTGCAGAGATTCGGATTTCGTGTTGTCAATACTCACCTTTTGCAGTGTTCACTGCCGACTCTGCTGCCTTCTTTGTGTTGTCTACCGTTGTTGCGATTGTATCTAATTGAAACAAAATTATAAAATAAAAATATTAAAATAAAAAGGTAAAACAATAATAAAATAAAACTTGATATATTTAAATGCATGACAACTAAAAAAACGATTAAGAAAATAACAAAAAAAAAATAACGGAATCAATTAAATTAATAAGGAACTAAAATAGTGTTGGCATGTTGAAGGCTTTGTTGGATCTTCCGTCACTGCCTTGTTGTATAACCAAGATAATACGCTGATCAAGAAAAGAACCAAATCTTGGATGTTTCTTAAAATATTACTAACCTCTAGTAGTGTCGACGACCTTCTTGCCATCAGCGACGGCTCTGTTGGCTGCATCCTTGGCTTCACCTGCTGCTAAGGATACCTTCGACAGCTCCTTGTCGAGAGCATCAATAGCAGAGTTCTTGGCATTGGCAGCTGTTCAACCAAATAATATAATCATTAAAATGAGAATTATATGTATATTGTCATGAAAAGATAGACTTTGTTTGTGAATCTCTAATATTATAAGCCAATTTCTTGAAATATCTTCGCTAAAGCTAGCTTGGCAAAAAGAAAAAAAAGGCTGAAAAGTCAAGTAGAAATCAAAGTAATAGCACAGATTACTAATATTTCGTGCTGATGATATGGTACGATAGATTTTTTTAATATTAGGTAAACATTCACTCACACGGATACGACACAATACTTTGCTTATCCTTTGTGATAACAAAAGCAAATTACAAAGTAAAGAAAAGAATCTAAATTTTCAATTTAGGTCTAAACTGCATCTTAGGAGTTAAGAAAGTAATTTTCCTTGCTTACAAAACCGTACATTTAATTGTAATTAAATACCAAACAAGGCTTCTTTCTATCATTAGGTAGATAGATGCGCGATGAGCGATATCATGGACATCTAGTGAAAACGTCTGTAATGCTGTTCATGTACAGGCAAATGAAATTACGTGATATAGAGACATAACGCCTTATTCCTCACAAATGGCAACTTATGACAGATACAGTTTGATGACGACGCGACATTCAAGGCTGTCCTTATATATGTGTATATACCGAACCTACAACTAATTAGAACAAATACATTTACTAGTTGCATACCAGAGTTAGCTGCTCCCTCAGCTGCTTGCGACGCTCCGCCAATCAGCTCCCCAGCTTTCTTCACCTGACCTTCGACCACTTGCGCCGCATCGTCAGCCTTCTCCTGCGCCATCTGTTCTGCGTCCTTCTTCTTGCGTTCGAAAAGGGACGCCGTCTTTTCGCCGATGCTTCGGAACGCGCCTGAAATAACATTTGAAATTTATTCCAAATACTTGAACGAGCAATTTTGTATTTATTTATTTAACTCGGAGACTCGTGATCCATATTGGATTTATGGTTGTTTGAACAACAATTTCAATTGCATAGGTTTTTTTGTTCGTGAACCTTTGGAAAACTTAGGTGGAGACATTGTTACAATGCAATAGTGAAAACCGATTTCAAATTGGTCAAGGAATTTCTGTGATTAGCATTCAAACCAACCACTGAATATTATGTAGATATTTTTTTCTATAGGCGTCGGTAGTACTGCTCATATGTTTGTACTCCGTATTAAAACTTTTGATTTTTCAGAATTATTTTAAATGTATTATATCGGAAATACAGGATGGAAGCTTACGCCCCGTCTGATAATAGGTACTCGTAAGTAGAGACGCATGTACAAGATGTGCTTGCCGTTAAGTTAAGCTCTTTAATATACAGCTATATTTATTTTACAGGTTTAGTTAATATTTAAAATATAACATAAGAAACTCAATCAAAGTTAAGACAAAAGAATTTTGTTTTATAGGACATTTATATCCACTTATGCAAGTAACATTTCTTTTTTTTAACTGTAATAATAAAGAGTGTATTGTCTAACTATATTATATATTCATATAGGATTTATCACGCCAGAGTACCAAAACACAAATTATACAAAAATAACGTGTTTGCATCGTCATTAAAATTTAATGGTACTTTATGAGATGCCTCGTAAACAGATGATGTAAACAAGTTTAATAGGTTACTGTGAGAAGGATTTACTTTGTGTTTCCTTATACAACTATATAATAATATAAGTGAAGATGTATTATTAATACATGTACATTAAATATTCTGTGATCTCTGCATACTATTTGGCAGTTCTATTCATTTCCGAAAGAAAAATCACTGTCTATGTAGTTTAGAATAACATTCTGAAATTAGATAAATATTGTCTTTTATAAATAAAACATAAATCATATTAAGATTATGCAGAATACCAAATTTCTTAATTTTAATCTTGAATGATGAATTAAGAATTTTCTGAACAATAATAATTTGTCTTTGAATAAATATTTATATATTTTCTTTTCATAAGTTTATTTTGAATAAACGTTATTTCTATTCTATTTCTTAGAAATACAAATCATAATAGAAATGTATTCCACTCTAGCCTCCACTAGTATATATGTAGAAGTCTAGCGTCGCGCTTTTGTTATTGATTTTTCAGTTCACATCATGTCAAGGTGCTTTTTAAATGGCCACACTATACGACTTAATACAGAGTAATTTCATTTTATCGTTTATACGATGCAACTAAGTAACCTCTGCACTACAGTAAAATACTGTATAGAGCTTATACCACCTGTAACTACATTAAATATGTATGGGAATTGTGTGACATTTTAACAATGTAACATGTCACATATTACGTACGAGGATATTATTGCTTTTGCATCAAAAATATACTACTTAATTACCTAGGTTTTTAATGTATAACAAGTAAAGTAGGTTGGACACATTTCCTAAATTACATTTTTTAGAAATACCTATCCAACAATAGATCTAGGTTGTCTGTTGTTTATGCTATCACACCATTGTATCAATTTGAAATACGAAAATTCAGTAAGAAATATAATAAATATTGTATTAATATTTTTTTCTAATCTAATCTAAGTAAAAACTGACTCGATAAACGACTCATTTTCTTACTGCTTTGGTATTTTGTGAACCTTTATCCCTATAACCCTATAAGCCTGGAAACCATCGTGGTTAGTTATTGGTGATTTACCATGGTGGACTAACTGACCTGACATCATCCTCATTTTCTTATCTTCGACTGGTGCCCCACGTTACGATTACCGAGGGCAAATGCACTATTCCATAATCAACCCTAAAAAATCTTCCTTGTAAATACCTATTTACAAATATAAACGATTGAACATTATGCCTAAATTTTTAATTAGTCAAAGTAAATGAACTCACCGTCTATCAGTCAGCGTGGAATAATACAATTTACATTAATTTTATAGTCAATTAGTATAAATAGAGTAGGTATGTAATTAAAATTTTGAAAAATCATGCAACTATCTAATTATTCTACGAAATAGTGTAAACTTCTACGACTACTAGTTCTAATAAATGTTTTTAAATTACTTCAAATACAGGGTCTAAATCTCAGGATTATTTTGCTAAGGATCATGCGGAAGAGTGAGAACCATAATTTTAAGAAGATTTTTAATATGAAAGTACATGTATCTAAAGGAAAAGGACGACCAAAGAAAACATGATCAGTGTGAAAGATGATCATAAAAAGATAGTATACCCAGATGTAACGGCTGATAGGGATCAGTGGAAGAAGATGACACTGCGCCGACCACAAATAATGGGACAAACAGCAATACAGTACCAAACCATAGATAGAATACGCTTCAGGCAATACAATAGACTAAATAGACTACACTTCAAACTGAACCGCTATTAAAATTAATATTAATTTTTTAACTGTTTTCTGATAAAAAAGCTTTAATTTCAAAAGTTTTCTATTAAGTTTATCCTTTACAACTATCTCCGTATACATGCAAGTGTTTTATATATATCCTAATGTAAAGATACATAAAAATATTTGATTGATATGTACAAAAACCATAATAAACAATAGGCACGATCTGTTAATTATAAACTGTTAGATATACTAACAACAGCAGGCCAGCTATAATTAAATAAATATAATTTCTCATGCCACACCGTAGTATCTATTATTGGTAAAGAAAAAGTGTGAAATATGCGATTTTGTGCGTGTGCCATGTGAAGGATAATCCGGGGAACTAATAATGAATAATAATATTTCTGCAATAGATAAAAAACTAGAAAATACTATAGAACAGGATACATGTAGAAAAAAGCAAGACCTCAATAGAGGGATATTCTTTCATATTAAAATAACGAGGATACAAGACTGGGATTCGATTGCAGACTACAAAGAAACAGAACACAAATGAACACAAGTGTGGGATGCTCGTAAAAAGAAACAAGAAGTACATTAGTAAACTTAGTAGGAATACTACACGTACACGTTACTTTTTTATTTTTGTTTTATACGTCCCACTTTGATAACAAATATAATGATTACGTTATGAATACTGCGGCCACAGAATACAAGAGGTTAGTCGAAAAGGTTAGAGAGTTACTGATAGTATTCAAAAAGAAATGTTGATTTTGTTTATGTAGGTTATTGAAATGGAAAACAAATTGACGCCAATCTAAATGTAAGCGGTAACGGTCGCCTATATACATGAACAGCACTACGAATAACACGTTATCCTATAGTACCCCGAGCACTGGGGAAGATGTCACACCTCTTATTGTGGAACTTTACTATCTAACCGCACTACAAAATAGGTGAGCCTCAGGAACCTACTCAGCAAAACCTACCTCGACTGTTTGTGAAATTCTAAAAATCATGATTTAACTTTTCATCGTAAACCGATTACGTGACCCCATCATGAAAATAGAGTGAGATGCCATCAAAGTTTGCGAACCACGACTTACCTGTTGGTAAGTCATAGCTTTATTATATTACGCTGTAAAAAAATTGTAAACTTCTAACTACAATGTAGTATGTAGATATTTAATTCTGTAATTTTCTAGAAATTATATGTAGTTACTTTTTTATAGCCAATTCACTTGGCTATAAAAAAGTAATTATAATCTAAAGCTTGGTATAGAAGTGATCCAGATGTACCTATCTACATTAAATGTCCTAATTGATATCTCTAATAGTATAAAACAAAGTCAATGTTTGCATTTACGTGTTATTCCGCTTCCGGATTTTAATACACTTTTCTCTATTATTTCAAAAATTTCTTCCGAAAGAAATTCTTGATATTTAGTAAATAAAATATGTAAGAGTTTTATAAGACCTCCATCAGTGTGGGAACCCCGAGCAATTGGCGAGTCGCTAGTCATATTATAAACGCGAGAGCGTGTTGTTTGTCATGTGGAAAGGGTCATAGTAAAATATGGCATGTAGCATTTTATATAAGTAAGTGTTGTGTTTAATTGGATGATGATATTAACTACTTAAGCCGCGATTTGATACGGCAAAAGCATTAATTGTTTAACGTGTTTGTCTGGAGAGGTATATATATAAGTAAGTCATGGTCATAGCAATGAAGTCGCAGACAAAACCAAACAGAGGATTTAACTTTTTTGTTCTATAATATATATACGCGCTCGGGCCAGCACTCGATACAATGATTGAAAGTGTCACTAGAGAGCGATGGTCCTATTCAATTGACCGAACGAAAATAGAACGAGAGTCGGCCAACCAACCTGGGATCATTGCTCGAGTGCTGTTCCTTACGATTTTGCAACGCAGAGTGATTGATGGCCTGAATTGCTCTTTAGTAGGAAATGGATACTTCAAACACGTGTTCGGATGTGTTTTCTTTCATGAACATATTAACTGGTCAGGGTTCCAATTTTTAGGGATACAAAAATATTCGAAGACGAACTTTTTCGAGCAAAATTATAGTAAAGTATGTAATGTTACTGTTTATGTTCCAAACATTTTGATATTCTTATACTTAAAGTTAAAAGTAATATGATTCGAAAAATTGTGGTATGGTATGGTGCAATTTCATTGTTGGGATGTATGGGTTGGATTCTATTTTGAAAATAGTTTTAGTATTGGATAATACTACATATTTTTTTTTAAATAGAATCAAAAGCACAACATTTACTTGTTTAAAGTAAGTAATAAATAATGAAACAAATTATATTACACCTACTAATTATATTAACGACAGCGATTCTAGTTCGTTATAAAGATTTTGCGCATAAAACTGTTGTATTATGGTGGCCAGCGGATATTACAGTGATTAAAAATATCCTGAGAAAATAAGACACGTTCTGCGAAAATGGAGAGCTTGCCAAAACATAGCATATACATACCTACATAGTTATTATACACATTAAGTGATAATGTTATAATGCAG